CAGCCTGTCCAGATGATGTGTCTAAAGGCCTCACAAGACCAAGAATGGGAAAAAAAAACCCCGCAACATTCAAACCTTTAGTATTCTTGGGGGAAATTTGCTGTCCTCCCTGCTTTGTTGTGCTGTTATGTAGGAGTTAATTATGGCTCACTCACCTCTCCTCAAGTAAAATGAAGCTCCTACAAATCATATTCCCATGGGAACTTCTTTTAATTGATTATCCCCTTTTCTGTCTCATTACCTCTGAGTTTTTTGTATTTGAACACCCTTCAGGAGACTTCTGGGACTGCAGGCCACATCCTGAGGATCTACAACTGCCTGCAAAGCTGTGCTGATCTAGAAGGCAACTGAAAAGCAACCTCACCTTGGTGGGGTGCAGGTAAGCAAGCAGCCCATGGCAAACAGCACACAGGCAGCAGAGGAAGCAGTTTTGGTCCAAGACTGGTGTCAGATACACTCCTTGTGGTCACACTTGTAGGACACTGAACCTGAAGGAAATACACCCACAAGTGGAGACCTCAAGGTCTCTTGCTGCTCACAGCTCTCCACATGCAACTTAGATTGATCTAGCTTCAGAAAAATACCTCCCTGGAACATTTCACATTAAAGGGCTCAAACAAGGAGGGGAAAGGCTTTCCCATCTTTACTCAGACACCCACTATTCCCATTCCCTCCAGCCAGTGGTTTTCCAACTCTTTCAGCCTAAAGATTCAAGTTCCCCAAACAAATTTCTGTGCCCTGACACACACATATGGCTTTTCCAAGGCTCTAGAGCAGTTTCTGCCCTACTGCTTGCAGGCAGTCCATAAATAAATCCCAGTCCTTGCAGGACCCTCACATTCCCAGCAGGGTCAGACACTGCCCTTCCCAAGGGGGACATTCCTCAGCGCCACACACCAACTTGGTGAATATTTGGCCTTGTTACATCCAAGTGTGCATCCATTTAATTCAACTCCTGAACTGCTACAAACCATCACCTGCTCACGTTCTGGCTGAAAAATGACTGTTGGGACCAGAGCATCACATGACCTTCCACAGAATTTTAACAAACACATCTTGAGACCCACTGGGTGGGGGGTTTCCATGTGGATGAGTCCCTTGGACATCTCTGAACCACTGGGCCAGGAGGTGGCTGCAGAGCTGCTGCTGTCACACAAGCACATACATACATATGCATATAGTAAGGGTGAGAATTTTTTTTTCCTTTTTTTTTTTTTTAACAAAACATCAGAGAAAAGTGTTTTATTTTTACTAAAAAAAAAACCCCAAACCCCAAACAATACTCTGGTGTTTTAGGCCATAGATTCTCTAGCTGGGATTCATGGCAGGGAACACAGGAACATGGAAAGCATCTTGTGGACATCTCCCCTCCAGCCACGACCAGGCATCCTCCTCCCTTCCCATTGGTGATCAAACAACATCCTTATGCAAGTACAGCAATTGGTTACATGTAAAAGGAAGATTAGAAAAGTATTTAATGTATTTGTATTTTTTCCTTGTTTATGTTTTTTTTTGTGTGTGTTTTTTTTTTTTTCTTAAAAAAAAAGAAGTGATTTAGCAGCTGGAAAGAGACAGCATCATGGGAGCAGCTGGTGCTACCCAAGCCACCAGCAACTGCTCCACACGGTTACTCACGGTCCATGGACCACAGTTCCCAAACTACAACTTTAGGGCTTCACACACTTTGCAGACTGTATGATGGTAGATGCCTCTTCACAGTGAGAGCCAGCAGGTCATCTTTGGTTGTTGAAGAGATGCAGAAGAGACTCAAGGTCCTCAACAGCAGCTTAGTTTGGAGGACTGGGCGGTATCAGGGCACAGCTGAGGTCCCTTGGAGCACCTAGGGAACATGATTGCCCTGCAAAGTGACTGCTGCTGATCCATACCCAGGCTGCATGTGGACCTGACACCATCATGGGATGGGAAGGGCATCACAGAGCTTGTTCCTCCTCTTGACTCCTGCAGGAGTTCCTTTTCACCCATCTGGGTCTTCAGGTTCCTCAGGCACAGCGAGGCACAGGGCGGGCGTGAGGGGCAGTGGGTGCAGGGCCATGGTGAAGAGCTGCTGCTTCTCCAGCTGCTGTGACCTACCAGGGTCCCAAGTCCCCAGGATGACACCGCCGATCCAAGTCACATGAGACACACCATGGCTGGAAAAACCAAGCTGGGATGGGGTCCCACCTGCCCCAAGACTGTCTCCCAGCTGGGAGAACCAAATGCACCCACATAGCACAGCAGCCCAGCCTGCTGCTCATCCACCAGGAAGTTCTCTGCAGAAAAGGGCTCCCAATCAGCAACTCCCCTTGTTTTTTTAAAACAACAATTGCTCTCACCCCTCTTTTTTTGGTAGACACACATACATACACACACTATATGTACACGATTTGGAACCAAGGATCTACACAACGAAAAGGAAACCAGCACCCCTCAGAACTGGTGCCCACATTCAGCAGCTGTCAAAGGAGAAGTCGCTTTACTTTCTTTTAAACTTGCAATGTTTGTCTTTATTTTGTTCTTTATATTTTGAAAGTGAAAAGAAATAGTATTGAGTCAATTTCTGTTTTTTCTTTTTTTTTTCCTCTTTTTTTTTTTTTTTTAAATATTTGTTCTATGTATTTACAAGCCTTAAAGTTGCTCTAAAGGTTCTGAAAGTATCACTAGTACTTTTTTGTTTTGTTTTCTTTTTTTTCCCCCAGGGTAGCACTGGTTTCAGTGAGTTATTCTCGGAGCACTCTGGTCCGCAGCGGTTTCCTCAAATCCATTTCCTTCCGTTCCAAGGTTATGTATGTTTTGATTACTATTTTTCTTTTTCTTTTTTTAATTTCTGAAGCAAGCTGAGAGGCAGGCAAAAAATCTGATGACAATTATTAAAAAAAAAACCAAAACCCAAACCAAACTGATCTTGTCCTCACCTAGCTCACCCCAACCCCCTTGTTAAGTTTTGCCTTATTTATCATGCTTCGAAACAGAACTGAGGTGCATATGAAGGGGAGGGAAATTTATTTCTCTGCTTTTGTTCTATTATACAATTTGTTTACAGAAACTGCAAATTTAAAAATTACACTGGCATTTGCAGTCCTTTAAAAGAATAAATTAAAAGGTTTCCCACTTTTTGTTTATTTTGCTTCCTGCTCAACAGATTCGTTCCGCCTCGTGTTCCTGGATGTGCGAGTCCTCATTTAAAAAGAAAAAAGATTAAAACGGAAAATATTTTCTATAAATAATACATGTGTTTTGGTTTTAGTGCTCCCGCCTTCAGGTTTGAAGTTTAATTTTTTTTTAAATTTTTTTTTTCAAGTACCTTTTTTGTTTTTCCTCCTCTGTGATCACCTAAGTTTTCACCTCTCCCACGCGTGCGTGTGTGGTGGAAAGGGGGGGCTGCGCGAGACTTGGCCTTGCTGCACTGTGATTGGCGAAGATGTGAAACTCTTTAAAAAAATACTTAAACTGTTCCTTTTTTTTTTTTTAATTTTTTTTTCTCATTTTTTTTTTCTTTTTTTTCTTTTTTTTTTTCCTGTATTTTAAGTTTTAATTATCCTCCGACTCCTCCTCGGCCTCCCGGAGCCAGGTGAAGAACGCCGTGACAGATTTTAGCGCTACTCCTTTCCCGTTCTGCTCCGCTGGGTCCTTGCTGCTTTCCCACTTGTAGAAGGCATCCTCTGATATTACCTCCTCGTCATACAGGCAATCAAAAAACATCCGCAACAAATCTGTGAGCATGGAATAAGGAGAGAGAACAGCTGTTAGTTCTGGGTGGCTTCAGGCAGCGGACAAAGACACGGCTACGGATAAGGGGATTAACCTTCAAAGCACGCGACGCAGACACGAGTAGAAGGAAGGTCTGTTTCTGAGTTCACAGAATCACTGAGGCTGAAAAAGACCTCTGAGATTATCAAGTCCAGCCTGTGACCCCTCACACCACATCTCCAGACCATGGCACCAAGTGCCATCTCCAGCCTCTCCTTAAACACCTCCAGGGATGGTGCCTCCACCACTCCCCTGGGTAGTCTATTCCAATGTCTGATCATCCTTTCCAAGAGAAAGTGCTTCCTAATATCCAACCTAAACCTCCCCTGGAGCAGCTTCAGGCCAAGCCCTCTGTCTCTGATTGCCTGGGAGAAGAGCCCAGGCCCCACCTGACCACAACCTCCCTTCAGGTGGTTGTAGAGAGAGAGAAGGTCCCCCCTGAGTCTCCTCTTCTCCAGCCAGTTATTGCTTCCTGGCTGGGTACACACAGCTGAGAGAGAAAACAGATCCCTCCAATGCTCCTTTTTCTGCTCTGCAGAAAAGGGAAAGCCAGAAAAGCAGCCGTGGGAATGTATTCTCTAGGGCTTGGCTTGCAAACAGAACTCACAGCAGCTCAATCTTCTCTGGCTGAACCACACGACCTGGCAGCTCCAGCACCTGATTTATCCTGGCTCAGCAGCAGGGATAATGAACACCCAGTGCCTTAAAGCTTAGGATGATGAAGTTCAGTGGTTTTGGATACCCTGACTTCGTGCTGCAGCCTCCCCCAGGAATCCCTCACCTTTTTTCCAACAGGTTTTCTACAGTGCCTCTGGAACAAGACCCCTCAGTTGTCCAACTCACTTTATTCCCTCCAAGTCACCAGACATCCGTGGTGCAGCAACATAACTACAACTCTTGCTGCTCTGATGTGTCCAGGTGCTGTAAACTCAGATTGTTCTTTACTGCTTATTTTTCTCCCTCTCTTTTTATCGAACAGAGGTTTGTTCTTCCTTCTGCACAGCTGCTTACAGCAGCAACCACAAAAGGAGCCAGCATCAAGCCTTTGAGGACCTGCACTGCTTTCTACAAGCCAGAATGTGGGCAAGCAGAAACCCCTGGGGGCTGTTTTCTCTCATCTGCTACATGCAGAGGTAAGGAAAAGCACATCCTCTCCCAGCCTCTACCACTAGTTTTTCCTCTCACAGAAACAACCTTTCCTTACACTGTCAGGGTTCAAAAGGAGTGCAGAGGCAACACTTACTAGGAGGCTGATCAAGTTTTACTATTGATGCTTGTAGTGCATAAAGTGCTTGTAGTTCTTTCTCCGTGTCTGAGTCCAGGTACTTGAGTAAGATGGGCACCCTCTGCTTGATAACAGCCGTGTCCACACGGAAGCTGGAAGAGTCCGCTGAGGGAAGAGAAGAGAACAGGGTCAGCTCTGGCACAGGGCAGCAGGGGTGGGTCTTTTACCACCTTTATTTATTCAAGTAGAAACCACAGATTAACATGGAGAGAAAAGAGGATGAAAAACAACAGAATGTATTTCTGATCAGCAGCTTTTTATGGAAGTCTTGGTTCTTCCAGTTCTCCAAATTCAACCAGTGACCCTGGCCCTAACCAGCCTGCTGATACATGCAGAAGAATCCCCACCTTACTGTCCAGGGCAAATTGTTGTGTCTCCATAGACAACTGGATGTTCAAAGTGCATACAAGGACTAGGGATATTCAGATATACAGGTTGCTAGTATCTATTTTTTTCCCCTAAAAATATCAAGAATCATTAGCTGTGTAGGACACAGAAAAACAGCAATATATAAAAAATAAACATTAGAAGTCCATCAGCAACACGGATAAATTATTCAGCAGCTTTTAAGTAGATCATACAATACAATTAAGTGGTGTTTTGGAAACAAAAGGAAAAAACAAACCTCAATTAGAGACAAGGTCAAAACATAAAACAGAAGAAGATGTTCCTGATACACATCAGGAAACCCTTAACCATTTGCAGTCAAACCCCGAGTCATTTCACCACTAACACTAGGTGGCACCAGAAAGGTTCTGTTCTCAGGGAGAAGGAAGGAGCTGGGCTGCCTTTCCCCTCCCAACAGGATGAAGTTCAGACCATTCTCTCCCCCAGGCGTGACTCTTACAGCTAAAAGCAGACCCGGGTGCTTTCCAAGTGCAATGTTTTGCCTTGCCAGATGCCAACAGTAAAGTTAAAGAAAATAAAAAGAAGTGACCAGATGTTTCTGGCTGCAGCACTTTAATCAAGCCCCCCTGAGGGTCTGAGGCTCAGGAGTCTGACTTGGGAACCCACCCTTCCCTCCATTCCCAGCCCACTGCCATACATTCAAACAATCCACATAAACCATCTTTCCAAAAGTGCAACTTTGGACATAAATCCATGAACCAGGCAGAGGTGCAGGCTCCTCTCCTGCAGCCCACACTCCAACCCCCTCATGGTGCTCTGTGATGGGAGGGCACCCAGGCTGCTTGCTGACCAAGGAGTGGAAATGCTGATTATCTTAATCATGCCTGGTGCACTTTCACCTCCACTACAGGAATGAATGAACAATCTGGCATTAATCAGAATCATCTGAAACGTCTGCTCAGGCAAGGTCATCAGGACACAGCAGGGCCTCAGGAACACCACAGCTGACCATGAGCCAGTAATTTGCCCTGATGGCCACGAAGGTCAGTGGCTGCCTGGGAGGCATCAAGAGTGTGGCCAGTAGGTCAAAGGAGGCTTTGCTGCACCTCTGCTTTGCTCTGGTGAGGCCACATCTGGAAAACTGGGTCCAGCTCTGGGCTCCCCAGTTCATGAAGGACAAGGAGCTACTGGAGAGAGTCCAGCACAGGGCACTGAGATGCTGAGGAGACTGGAGCATCTGCCTGTGAGGAAAGGCTGGGAGAGCTGGGGCTGTTCAGCTGGAGAGGAGGAACCTGAGGGGGGATCTGATCAGGGCTGATCAATATCTACAGGGGGTGTCAGGAGGGGGGGACCAGACTCTTCTCAGTGGTGCCCAGTGACAGGACAAGGGGCAATGGGCACAAACTGGAGCACAGGAGGGTCAAGTTAAACATAAGGAAAAACAGAGCCCTGAGACAGGCTGCTGAGAGAACTGTGGAGTCTCCATCCCTGGAGACATTCCAAACCCATCTGGACCTGTTCCTGTGGGATCTGCTCTAGGGGATCCTGCTCCGGCAGGGGGTTGGATTGGATGACCTCCAGAGGTGCCTTCCAACCCTGATGACTCTGTGACAAGCAGCCAAGTGTCTGGCTGTCCCAGGGGAGCAGACAGTGTGCTCTCAAGCACTAGAATTCAATATGGTGCAAAAGTCTCAGCGTGTAAAAGAAAAAAAACCCACAACAAACAGCCTCAGGGGAGGGAAAACTGATATAAAACTGAAAGATATAAAATAATTCTTTGCCCATGTGGTTTGTGTGGTGCTGACACTGCAAGTTACTCACCTATAATAGCTGCTTTACAAACTGCTGTCATTAAAGCTCTAAGGAATGTAGGTGAACTCATCTGGCTTTCATCTAGATTAGCCTGAAAGAGTAAATGGACCAGTTAAAAAGAACTCCATTGTGTGAGAGCAACTGTCTCCCAATACCACGACTCCACTTGGCAGCAGGTCCAAGTTCAGCAGAAGCAGCAGTTCGCCCTCCCCACCCTTCCCAGTGGCTTCCTGAACCTTGCTCAGATCTGACAACATGCAACAAGAGTTCTCATGTGATCAATACACCACTGAGCTCCTTCAGCTACTCCCACCACTAGGTCAATGATCTTGAGAAACACCCCAAGCCAACACCATTTGGCTGTTACAACACCCTGATACGTTTTCTAAGAGTTTGAGGCTTTTACAACCCATGCTCCTTGGGTGGAGATTTGTTTGCTTTGTAGAAGAAATTAAGAGAAGGGCTCTGTAACTTGTCCAAGACTACAAAGAGCCTGTGGGTGTCCCCCAGATTTTCATTCCACTCTTGACTTCTCTGATGACAGTAGAAAAATGTCATTTGCAACACACTGCTCCAGCTATAGAAATAACTGAGATGAAGCTGACCAGAATTTAGCTCTAAGCACAAGATCTAAATTAATCAGCTGGGGTATCATTTCAGACACTAGATTAAATACCTGGCTGAAAGGAGGCAGCCAGAGACAGAGGGCAAAAGATCAGCAGGTTGATAGGGCTTTTTTTTTCTTTTTTCTTCTCTTTGTTACATTTTATTTTCTGCTAGGGTTACTGGTCCAACGCACTGGGAAAGACACACCTGCTCCCAGATTGGCCAAGGTGTTTCTGCAACATGGCAGGGGGAATTTGGCAGGTCATGTTGCAAAAAGCCCTGAGCAGCTTTTATCGAGTATTTTGCAAAGAAAGAATGTAGCAGAGTCCTCTCCAAAAGGCACTGGGTAGTCACCAGCTGCACTGTTAGACTCTGTCTACAGGATTTAAAAGGCAAGTCACACAGTTGTAAGGTAACATGGCTCAAATTCTAGCTCCTAAAGCTTGCTATGAAAAGGACTGATTTAATTTTAGTTTTTAATTCTTTGAAAGTGTTGGTTACACAGACCTAATCAGTTTCATGTCCTATGCCTAGGGAGGTGCCTACAAGGATGCTCCTTGAGATGACAAAATATTTAGAAAGCGGTTAAACTGTTCAGGGAGGGTGAAAACAGTCTTTGTACCTCTACCCAGTCAAAGATTTGTTCATCATTCGCCTTGTCCTCAACAATGAGTTTTTCTAGCTGCTTGCTTAGCTCTTCTGCAGAGAGTTCTTTCTCTGAAAGTGCTTCTGAGGAACTGGAACAGTCAGACTCCGTGAAGTCCAACTTCTGCAACATGAGACGTGAGGAGAAGAATTAGTGAAATATACTTTCCTAGGCTGAATTACACCAAACTGAGGCAGTGAGCTACACTTCACTCTGCTTTCTGGCATCTTTCAACTGCTAAGTTATCATTACAAGGATTTATATACTTTCTCTGTTCCAAAGATTATAAAGCATTTTACAAACACATGGGAACTACATCATCCAGCAAAGACAAGCAGGCATCTTAGAGCAGCTCCAGCTCTGCACAAAATCAAGTGCATGTTGCTCAACTCAAACGACAGGGAGCTGGAATGCAATTACCAGAGCTGGCACTGGCTCAAGGGAACTGCAGCTCACACCCCAAACTCACTGCAAAATGTGACAGAGGCTCCACAGTCCCCTCCCCAAGTCCCAGGCCTTGGTAATCCATTTCATTTCCTGCAGCACAGCACTTCCAAAGTGCTAAAGCAGGGCAATGGATCACTTGGAGCTTCAAAGGGAGATCTCAAGCTTCTTCCATCCTTAGAAGCACCACCAGCAAGAGCTGCAAGGTGCACTCCAGCCAGCCTGGCTCCTCCTGGATGTGAAACCCCACTGGATCATATAACAATTTGGGATGAAGGAATAATTGCTGCCATTTACTCTGGACCTTCTGCAGATGGCCTGTCCTTGTGCAAAACTCATACTTGAGTTAATTCCTCCTGGTTGGAGAAAGAGGTTTCCTAGAGGAAGCCAGCTGAGGTGTGTGCCTGGGATTGGAGGGGACCAGCCAGTTGTCCTGGTGCTGCAGAAAGCAGCTGCTGAAATCATCTAACCTCAGCTTGTTGAGGGAGACACTTCACCCCCATCCCAAACCAACTATATGTAAGAATGGGATGGAAGAGAATGAACAAACTGGACCTGAGGTCAAAAACCAGGGTGCCAAATCATTAATTAAGCAGATGCTTGTTCCAAACTCACTTGTTCCATGAGAAAGGTATGTACCTCCTCCCCTTCGGGTAAGTAGTCCTTCCAACTGAGGCCAGACTCCCTCCATAAGGCTCCCACTTTCTTATGGCTCTAAAACACAAACAATTTGTTGACGTTAAAGATATGAGAGACAAGCAGGGGAGCTCAGACAAGCTGGAGTGGTGCAGCTGTGTCAGGAGAAATAAAGAACCATTCAGCCACCAAACAAGATGCCCAGCAATGAGGTGAGAACGTCTGGAAATCCCGTGCAAGAGGAACCATGTATGCAGTCCTGCCACAGGTACACACATCTTGCCAAGTGGTCAAACGCCACGGTGATGGGTCATAGACAAGGCATAAAGTGACATGTGGGGTTTGCAACAACTTCAGCCCAGGATTACCTACAGAAGTGACACGTCTGAACAAGGCAGTTTCCCACAGCTGTGACACGGAGCTGGCACTTGGGTGACTTTGATTCTTCTCCTGACTCTGTCACTAACTTACTCCGTGACTCATCCTCCCCCTGCCTTGACATTAAGGTACCAGCAAATGAGCTACTCTGAGAAAATCAGGATTGTCATGGCTGTTTTCTCTACAGAGATCAACCCTCAAATTCAGGTACCCAACACCAAGCTCACTCTTCAGTTCCTAGAATTTATTGCGAACCTGGAGAAAAGGGGCACATATAGCTCAACCTTCTGCATCCTCTAATGTCACGCTGACCTTTCTGTGTCCTGCCCAAGAGGGCACAATACACAATCCTGACAAGAATAAAAAATACAAGTAACAACCAGCTCTTTTCACCCCAAAGCTTTGCCAAAACCTTTACCTTCTAGCACCTGCACGAGGGAGATTGCTGCCTTGACAAGTTAAGCACTGATACAAGCAGCCTGAGTTTTAGTTTACAGAGCAGATTACAAGTTGTGTGAACAGAACATTATGAGCTAATTGTGCATAGTTCCTGCTACAGTTCATCAGGATCTGAATTAGATGATTGATATACGGAAATACCCAAGTCCAAATACTGGCCTGGATGAGATTAGATTAGAAAGCAGCAAGAGAAACCCAAGGCTGTGCTTCAAACCCCAGAGCACAGCAGCTTCTCCTTCACAGAACAGAGAAACAGAAATAGAAGTTGACTGTCCAAACAAGTATAACACTAAAATAAAGTCATTGCTTGCACTGCTAGACTGAAATGCTCCTGGAATGTTCAACCTTATTTGAAGGCATGATTTAAAAACCAACAACAACCACAAAAAAAAACCCCAACAAAAGGCAAGTGAGGGATTTTTACAGGGTTGAAAATAGACACTTTCCAAAGTGCAGTATTTAGCTGAGAAAAAAAAACCAAAAAAAGACAAAAATGGAGACGGTTCTAGGGAATCCACCAAACTGCTGGGACACACAACTGTGAACTGTGTCAGAGAGCTCTCAAAGTTACAGGGTGAATAGGTGTTACTACCCTAGTGATGGGTGAATCTGAAAGAGTTGGCAGGTTTAGTTTGGATAAGGCCCCAGAAGTTGGAGAAGCCATCTAAAGCTTATCCCAACCCTCAGAACCTCTCTGGTCTGCAAGAACCTCTTGCAAGGTTTCCAGCACTTGCTGCTTCTGGTCAGCCCAGAAATACCTTGAGAATGTCCCTCTTGTGGTATTTCAGCACTCTAGCTTCTGGAAGAAGCCAGGTACAAAGGTAGCTGCAAAAGGGAAAAGTGACGAGAAAGAAAAAAGTTAACTTTTTGGAACCCCCTAATGTTTGGTTTCAAAGTGGGGATGAAGAGGCAGGTTTCCTAAGTTATCTGGACTGGTTGGGCCATCCCTAAATATCTTCATGTGGGAAATGTGTACGTTTCATGCATCAACATGTCCTGGCTGCATCCAGCTCCTCCCTACGGATGGTGCCTCTGGACACTTACCATTTGTTTGCATAGAAGGTGCAAGATTTCAGCAAGCAAGACGCCGGCTCTTCCCACAGGAAGCAAAGGTTTGCTAAATTCTCTAGAATGAAAGAAAACCAGATATTTTTCCTCATAATTAGAATTTGGAATGCAAGGTTGTGATCAAACTGTGGTGGGAAATCACCTTTCATTTCTGCCGGGGATGAGGGGTTTGATCTGGCACTGCTGATAAAACAGACCTCAGGGATGCAGTTCAGGCCCTGATTTACATTTACATCAGTTGGACCTGTGTAACTTATTACAGATCACTTACTTCTAGTTCATATTATATCATAAAATGTTCTGGGTTGGAAGGGACCTTGAAGACCATCTAGTTCCAACCCCCTGCATGGGCAGGGACACCTCCCACCAGCCCAGGTTGCTCCAAGCCCCATCCAACCTGCCCTTCAACACTGCCAGGGATGGGGCAGCCACAGCTTCCCTGGGCAACCTGGGCCAGTCTCTCCCTACCCTCACAACAAATAATTTCTTCCTAATATCTAACCTAAATCTCCCTCTTCCAGTTTTAATCCATTCATTCTTGTCCCATCACTACATTAACTTGTTAGAAGTCCCTCCCCAGAAACTCAGCTCCTGGAAGCAGTTCCCAGTCTGGCAGGCAGGGTGTTGTGCCCATCCAGGCAATGCCCAGGTGGCAGCCACTACACTCCAAGACAGAAAGGCTCCCATGTGATACCTCACACCCTTCAAATCCTATGCCCTGAGCCTCAACGTGCTCTCAAACAAACTCCACCTGTACAACACTGGGGTATTTTTTATCTCAGCTGAAACCACCAGGATTGAAGTAGATTTAGGGATAAAACTTCCACCCCTGAAGGGCGTCTACAGAGCCATGAGCTCCCTTCTCACCCCAGCTTCCACCCAAGCCTTTTATCAACCTGCATGAGAAGCTGAGCCTCTAACACTACTCATCTTTTATCTGATGATGGGAACCATGCTGTGAAAATACTACAGCCCAGCTGGACAGGGAGCTCAGCACGACCAACACTGGAATAAAGCAGCTTTGCTTACTGTATAAGTTCTCTCATAGAGATTCCTCCTTCTTTTAACATGGGGGTCACCAACTCAGCTAGGTACAACCAAATATGGGGTATATCTATAGCCATGTCGTCTGCCATCTCCAAGGTATCTGCAAAACTTTAGGAAAAGGAAAGAAAAATGTTAAGTGTTCCATATAATTTAATTTGAGACTTTCACTGGAGCTAATCTGCACTTCAAAAATCCTTTGTTACAGAAGAGAGAGAGGACAAGAAGGGGACAAAATCACAAAGGTAACAAAAAAGCTATTGCCATCTTGTGCTTTCAGTGCTTTAGCCAGGAGGGAATTTCTCTAAGGAGTAACGTGGAGAATATATGGAAAAGGCATTGCCTTCTGTAAAGCCAGCAGATAGATCAAGGAATGCTCCATTTATAGTAATTCTTATATCCCAGTAGCAAATAATTTGCTAACTAGTAAAACCTGTAAAACTAAGAAGCATTTTTGTCTATAAATACAAAGCATCTAATAAATGGAGCTTTCTTATAAGTAGACAAGACAAACGTTCACAGGAGGGGGATTAATAATAACAGAAGTCCAAAGGTAAGGAAACTGGCAAAATGTTTGCAAATATGTAAAATTACACAAGAAAAGAGCTCAGTACACCAGAGAGAAGGTTCCACCCAGAACAGAAAATTACAAAACTGTAATTCATCCCCAGCATTGGATACAGTTTCCAGAATCACACAAAACTCTTCTTCCCAACAAAAGCCTTGCAGGTGGCTTCACTTCCTGTGCCTGGTACAAGATGATCACTTTTCTGGCTCTCCTGCCAGTTTTCATCATGATTCATTTTTCCCTGAAAACCTTGAAAATTCTGGGTTCCAGTTTAGTGGCTATAAATGCACATTTTCCTCTTGAGCTTCAAACTCTTTGCTTTGTTCTTGACATCCTCTGCTACCTGGGTGAATCCTGGCATTTCTGCCAGAAACAGGTTTCCTGTCGTGTATCTCTCCAGCCTTGCCCTGTGACCATCACTCACCCCATAACCCAGTATTACCTACAAATTACCCAGTAATTTGTGTTGTCACAATAAGTACTGTGGTTTTCAGTGCTCTGCTCGTGTGCCCACTGAACATCACTTGCCTTTTCATCAACTTCAGTAGCTGTTTCACTTTGCTTATGACACATTCAGACCACATGTCCCACTGTTTCATCAAGGTCCTACTTATTTGGCATCACAGCCACTTATCCACACTCCAGGAATGGCTTTCATGACAATCCATTATGGAAATGTGTCACTTCAAACAAGTTGTTTTGACCATCAGTGGCTGTGGACACAGACAAGTATGCACTCCCTGTGGACAGATATATTTTTACTGCTGTTCCATATGATTCTGAGCTTGGGCTGCCTAAACCTTCTCTGTGGGCCACTGGATTGCACCACAATGGAATTCACTGGCAGACATGGGAGCAGGGAGATCACCACTGGCACCATGAGGAGGTGTGTTTCAATAAAAGCAGCAAGATGAGGCCAAGTACCCAGGAATTCAGTATCAAGAAGCATTATTCCAGCTGCCACTCACTGGCTGCTTTTCGTGGTCATACCTCTTCTAATCACCCTGCTCTCAGCCCCAGGCAGGGCTGAGCAGTGCCAGGGACCTCCCTGGGAACACAGATCCTTTCACAACTGGGCACCAGTTCTACTCCAGGCTGGGAACACAAAACCCAGAGAGCTGAGATGAACCAGCAGCTGAAATTCAGATCTCCTGAGCAAGGTCTAACCCGTGGCACGTTCTCCTCCTCAGCCCCTCCAGGACATGTTCACTCCTTAAAGCTGAGTTGTCCTGAACATGACCATGTGTGGACCAAGCCTGTTTCAGCAGCAGGAGTGTGGCTGTGGCTCTGTGGACACACAGGACTTCAGGCTACACAGCTTCCAGGCAGTGGGGTCCTGTGAAGATCTTTGTCTTCTCCTTCCTCTTCCAATCACATTCAGTGATTTGCCAAAAGGCAAATGCATCACAAACCAGAAACCTAAACATGCACATTTAAATCCACAACTATCAGAGAGAAATTAACATAATTATGAATACATTTACATTCCCTAAAGCATCTGAAACACTTAACAATATATTACAACAATCATCTTACTTATTAATACACCCAGACAAAAAAGCTCCTTCCAAAGGGGTGTGTGAGGAAGGCAGGATCCCACAGCAAGGTGGGGAATCATTCCTCTCCAACACAAACGTACTCATTTGCAATGAAGCCTCAAGAAAAGTATCAGAATACAAACCCCTTGAAGAAATCCTGCTTGCTCAGCTTTCCTGACTGCACCAACTGGTGTAATAACTGGCCCATGTGATCCCTGGTGATCTGACTCCTCTCCAGGGTGGACTCCACTCCCACTCGCACAAAAACAGGCAGCAGGTTCTGGGCACTCAGCTCCTCCACGCACTGCATCGCCTCCTGTGCAAACGAGACAGGGGGTCATTGCCTCAACTGAAACCACCACAAAATGGGGCAGAAGAGTATTTCATAGGATCACGGAGTGGTGGGGGTTGGAAGGGACCTTGAAGGATTATCTAGTCCAATCCCCTATCAGAGCAGGATCACCTACAGTACATCCCACAGGAACAGGTCCAGATGGGTCTGGAATGTCTCCGGGGATGGAGCCTCCACAACTTCCCTGGGCAGCCTGTCCCAGGGCTCTTGTTACCCTCACAGTAAAGAAGTTCTTCTTTATGTTTAACTTGACCCTCTTGTGCTCCAGTTTGTGCCCATTGCCCCTTGTCCTGTCACTGGGCACCACTGAGCAGCATCTGCCCAACCCCTCCTGACACCCCCTGTAGATATTGATCAGCCCTGATCAGATCCCCCCTCAGGCTCCTCCTCTCCAGCTGAACAGCCCTTGCTCTCCCAGCCTTTCCTCACAGGCAGATGCTCCAGTTTCCTCAGCATCTCACTGCCCTGTGCTGGACTCTCTCTAGCAGCTCCTTGTCCTTCATGAACTGGGGAGCCCAGAGCTGGACCCAGTTCTTCAGATGGGCCCTCACCAGGGCAGAGCAAAGAGGAGAAAAAACAATAGTTTAGAGTGTGCTGCTGAGCACCTGGTGCATGGGATGGGGATTATTCTGATGGCAGATCAAGGAGCTGCCAGCTTTGCTTTTCTTGGAAACTTCTATTTAGTGAAGCTGCCAGGCAAACGTGCTGAACCAGGCTCTGCAACCTCACCACAAATCACCACTGAGATGGTGACTGAATAACAACAAGGAGAATTTATACCACACAGGCAACAGAATTTTTAAACTTAATCAGGCCTCAGGGTACAGTTTGGCTGCTCAGGGAAAGGACAGAATTGTCTTCTGGATGCCACCAAACTGCCTGTTCTTTCATCAAATGTTAAGCCAAGCCAAAAAGAGGACACCAGGTTAGATTCATTGCTGATCTGATCTGGCACAGAAGTGCCCGTGTTACAAACCCACACCATATAAAGAAGCAGAAAATGGTTGGGGAGCACTCGGAGGAAGATTTTCTCTTTATAAAGCTTCTACTTTCTGGCATGTGCATTTTGTAACTTAAGCAAATAACAGACCCTTAAATAGAGACCTTCAGAGAAACAATCAATGTCACACTTCAAAAATCTCTGCTGTCATCAGCAAAGATGTTTCCACTGACCCATGTTCAGCTCAAGGGATCTCAACAGGCTTCCTGACTGAAGGTATCTGCTCCTTGCTTTAGGTTATGCCTTTAGCCACCATGAACTGGCAGCCCCTGCTGCAGTTCCACAGGTCCCCAGCAGCTCCTTCCTGCAGGTCACTGCCTGGTGCCCCAGCTCCTCCATCAGACCTGCCTGGGGCATCTCAGTGTCTCCAGGACAGACAGGTGAACATCCCACTGGCTATCCCTGCTGTCACTAGATACCAGCACACAGCTCAGCAGTTTTAATTTACCATCAGGTTAAATACTAAAAACTGAGAAAGGGCTGTTCCTTGCTCTGTGCACTAACACATTTATTGTCTGGTTCATGGCAGTGCAGCTGCATTTGCAGCTCTGGTGCACACTGCATTTGAAGGGCATTATTAGCAAGTAACCCATTAATGCAAACAAGCTCCCTCAACCTGATGTACTTTTTTTAACCAGAGCTGCACTTGTCTCATACAATTCAACTCTATTTCCATCCAGCCATTAAAAATGTCACTGCATTTGCAAGTGCAGAAGCTGAAGCAGCCCCTTAGGCCCAGACATCCAGAGGTTAGACTTTGAAGTCCTTTGTTAGCCAGCCCCACCACCCCTGAATCCTCCTGCTGAGACCTGCCAGGCCAGCAAGCTGGGGACATTGCAAATCCAAGTGCATTTTTCTTTTTTCTCTCTAAACCAGGATTTAATAATTTCTCCTGGTGAGTAGATGTGAGTATGAATCCAAAACAATCGACCATAAGAATATTCCTCTTTCTGAGGAGGAACAGCAGCCTCAGAGCAGCTTCCAGTGCCTGAAGGGGCTCCAAGAAAGCTGGGGAGGGACCTGGGACAAGGGCAGGGAGGGATGGGATGAGAGGCAGCTGCTTCAAACTGGAAGAGAGGAGATTGAGGTTGGACATGAGGAGGAAATTCTTTGCTGTGAGGGTGGTGAGAGCCTGGCCCAGGTTGCCCAGGGAAGCTGTGGCTGCCCCATCCCTGGCAGTGCTGAAGGGCAGGTTGGATGGGGCTTGGAGCAGCCTGGGCTGGTGGGAGGTGTCCCTGCCCATGCAGGGGGTTGGAACTAGATGAACTTTAAGTTCCCTTCCAACCCAAACAATTCCATGATCCTGTGATTTTAACTGGAAGGCCTATGAAGTAGAAGCAGCCAAACCAGGAACTCCCTAGTGCTGCCACTTAAAGTTGCCAGGTTTTAAAAATTTCTTTCAGCAAAAGATCAAACCAATCAGCTTTGCAGCAAATGTAACACATCTCTCTATCTCCCTGGACAAGCTAAAAATCCATTTACAAGGGAAACAAAATTTCAACCTTTAACTAGAAAGTGATGACAGCTGCTCAGTAATTTTCAATGTTTATTAAAAATACTCTGGAGTGATTTGTTCAATATTTAGCATTGCTTTATCTGCCTCCAGATCAGAACAGCACATGCTTTGATAACTGAAGGAAAACCTCAGTTTATTTTCCCAATAGCTTTTCTGCTTCCAAAATTACTGTTATTATGGAGCTGCTCAGTGATTCATGACGGATACACATACATCTTGCTACTTCAAACACCCAGGCTGGGCTATTTTTCCTGTTACCAGCAGAGCAGAAGACAAGTTTGGGAGACAAGTGTATTAAAAATGCTCGTGGAGCTGCTTCCTGAATTTTGACAGGTCCCAGCTTTTCTGTTCCCTCTGTGTATAAAGATACTGTTCCTGGAGAGAAAACATGGTCCGTGGGACTTGAGCTTTTCAAGGGAGGTTTTTTATTTTGCTTACCTTAAAATCATTAATATGCAAGAACTCATCAATGATAGATTTGCATTTTCTCTCTATTTCCTCTTCTGATAGTGAAGGCTTTTCTTGTGCAGGAGCTGGGGGAGCTTCTGGCTTGGCTGGAAGAAAAAAACAAACCCAAAACACATTTGGAAAATCAGCATCATTTTCAGAGATGACATCCTGCAAACAGAATTCACTGGAGCAGGGTGTGTTCCCTGTCCCATCACCAGGCACAGGTCACTTCTTCCTTGGCTACATTTCCCCCTGGATGGATTCCCAATATTTCTGTAAATCAGTCTCATAGAAACACAGCTGGCAGTGACACAGGATGCAACACCTTCAAAGCTCTCTATCAACATTTATTACTTAAACTTGGAGCTGTTACAGCAAGCTGCAAATTTTAAACATGCTGATTGTGATGGGCAGCAACCCGAAGCAATCTCCTGGTGCCATCTCCAAAATCTGGAGCCCTTCACAAAGTCTCAAAGCTTCCAGAGGAGTGTGTGGTGTCATGGCAGCTGAGACCTGTTCCTCACTGTAGCAGTTTCTAGATGTTTCCCAGGGAAGGAGCAGAGTCCTGTACTTATCACAAACGTTCTGCCCGCAGGGAACATCACCCTAAGTGTCCTCAATACTTTCTCACTGACAAGTCAGCTCAAGGTGGCAGGAGCAGAGTGGAAGCTGCAGCAGTGACAAGGTGACAAGCCACCCCTGGGGGTGCTAATGCCACACTGCACTGAGACCTGCCTGGAGGGAGGGCTGGTGACAAGGCAGCACTGAAAGGACGTGGTACATGGTCTGTCCCAGACCCAAACCACTGCTCTGGCCCTGGGAGATGTTTGGGAAGGGCAGATGTGGCCTTACTGGGCACTGAAGAACTGCAGAACTGACACGGATTTTAGAGACTTCTAACCCAGAAACCAGTAGCAACAGTGACACAAGAACCACTGAGACAACACTGTGGTGTTCTGCTGCCATCTCCAGCCTTTCCACTCTGGGGAGCCCCAAGGAGGAGCTGTGGAGGAGATGACACCCAGGCCTGTACGGATCAGCTGTGTCCCAACCTCTGGGGGCAGATCACAGCTACTGCAGCTCCACAATGCCTCACTACAGGCCAAACAGTCCCACCACTGCACAGAAATGTCACCTGTCCTGACAGATTTTTCCCTTATGCCTTTTCACATGCCCGGCGAGATTCCCTAAGCACGGGAAGAGCCACTCACCAGACTCCTTGGCTTTGCTCCTCTCCGCCTCCGTGCTGTTCCTGTCCATCTCCATCCCTCCTGTCAACTGCTTCACTGTCTCCAGCATCTCCCTCCTCTGCTCCTCCTGTGCCTGATTATCCAGCAGCAGCTCCTTACTGCTGCTGCCCCGGAGGAAGGTGTTGGGGCGGGAGAGGGAAGGTGGGAGAGGTTTGTCATTCTTCTCCCTGCCCGTGCTCCCGCGACTGCGGAACAAAAACATACAGAAAGTGGTGGCACCAGTGATCCCTGCTTGCCAAGGCTGGTCGTGTCAGATAAGGGATTAGGGAGCTCTGTAGGGACTGCAGGGAAAACACCCCAACCCACACCCAGCAGGATTGGTGTCTTGACTTTCTACAGATGCAGCCACACAGAATCAAATCAGAATTAACTCCAGCCTTGGAGATGCACAAACACAATGTCCTCAAACCAGGACACACAAATACCCACAGAGTGGACAGGCAGGGCCAAAGCTTCCTGAACGACACAGGGAAAAGCAGTAAAGTCCTTACAGCACCTGCTTTCTGTATGGAACAGTGAACTTTATAATGTGGAAATTATACACATCCTAGAATTTATGATTAATTTTGTAACAGGCACTTTTGATACCCTCTGTGAGAGGGTATCAGCAGGATGGGTTTTTTTACCCACTTATTGAAAAATAGTTTCAGAATATTCAAGGTTACCAGCAAGAGGCAACAAGGACCTGTCTTATTAATCACTGTGTTAATGGGTAGGATGGGCAAAAAACAGCAAAACAGAATAATCTCCAAGTAAATCAGAGTTCTAGGTGAGATAGGAGGGAAAACAGAGGGATAAATCCAGGAAACCAGTCCTGCAGCTGGTGTGTAATGGAACAGAGCAACATCTTAAGTGAACTGTACATTTATAAACTGTGTCTTGAGTTAAAAAATTATTGAGGGTTGATCTATGTTTCATGCTACAAGCTGGAGTGGCTCTAGCCCTGGTGAAATGGGGGTGTGGGAGGGCAGAGCACAGCCTGAGGAATGCACCCCGAGGGGCAGGCCTGCTCACACCTCGTGGGAAGGGCTGGACACAGTGGAGGAGCCTTGCTCAATTTCTGAGCACGTTTTTCTGCATAAAGAAACCTACTGACCTGGCTGAACCCGTGACCATTGAATCCAACATGCATGTCTATTGATCACAACATTTTATCTGAAGAGTTTTTAACCTGTTAACTCCTTGGAGATGAATCCTTCAGACAAAGGGAGGCTGAAGAGCGGGAAGTTAAAAGATTCACCCTAAAGGCTTTAAAAATTAATACCACCTGTCTCTCCTATGATATAAAAGATGCATGTGTTTTAAGTTAGCTCAAAGTAGGTGGGGTGGGAGTGGGGAAGGACCAAACCATTCCTGGAAACTCAATAAAATTCTCTTCTTTCTGTGTGCTGGGAACTAGAGCAGGCAGGGAGAGGTGCAGGATCAGCAGGAGGGAGCTTACCTAGTTAAGGCCCTGCGAGAATCTAAGTCTGAGGATGCAGATGAGGCAGCTACAGATGAGACTGGAGGCTGCAGTGCAGAAAATCTGTTCAAACTAGTGGCACTTGGTCGTAAGGAGTCTGCCAGATTGGAAAGACAACACAGAGGAGAGCAACGACAAGGTCAGTAGCTGCTGACACCGTGGCCTTATATCATCATTAAAGCACCAGATGTTTTGGGGAGTGTTGGGGAGAGAACTGAAGGGAAAGGGCTGGTTCTGCCCCACTTTGACCCTGCTTGCCAGGCAGCCACACACACAGACGAGCACTCCCACCCAAATCTGCTCTTGGCAAGGATGGTGACACCAAAGCCAAGGGTGAGGACCCGTCCTGACTTACCCATCTCACTCGCCTTTGCTCCACCACTGCTGCCCTTTCCCCAGCTGCCCAACTGGGCTTTAGGCACAAGCTGAATCTTCTCATCTATTGTGGGCTGTAAAACACATCAAGACATACCATCACAAGGGTAGGTCTTCACTATAAATGCTGCATTTTGGGGCAACAGTCCTGTCTTGTGAACACCAAAATATGCTTTAACATGTTGTTGGAAGACAGAGGAACAGCCTCTTCCAAAGTGTCAGTGAAACATGTTCACAGGGACCAAGAGCTTCTGTTTACTATGAAGCTCAGTAGGGAGGAAAAAGCACAGTATACATCAATACTTGAGAGATGTTCAGTTTGTTTGTGGCGAGTAAAACTGTTCTGCTGCCCACTACACCCACCTGCCATGGGGGGAACTGCAGGATAACAACAAAACTCACAGGGCAAAGAACCACAACAGGTGGCAGGAGGGAAAAAGTAGCATCTGACAAGAACATTGATTTTTACAATGCTCAGCAGGTGAATTGATTGACAAGGAGGTTGTGACCCTGCAGATCCCTTTGTATGAGCTCCTCTCTCCTCCTGACCGTGCAGCTTGAATCCCTCCTGCTAATTAAGTTTTGGAGTCTTGTTTTATGACTGGCACAAGGAACAAACTGAACTTGATCTGCAGCAGAGCTACAGTCTGTCCAGGTTCTGCTTCACAGCTCTCCGAGCACTCAAGCACTGAGAGTAAACCTGAGGTAGAGTGACATTCACTGGGACCAGGGAATATCTAGGAAACACTCTAACTTATGTGAAATATGGAGTTTTCCTTGGCAAGAAATTCCAAAGCTGTTCTGAAGATAATTAAAAAAGGAGAAATCTCCAATCTTGCCTAATCTGCAGCCTGAAATAAATGTCCCCAGATTGGCACTTTCATAGTAAAATACCATGAAGATGCTCATCTGGAGGTTGGGTGTGAAAGTTTAACACACACTGAGGGATGCAAGTGCACCAGGCACAGGCCCAGAAGCACTGCAAAAGCCAACAAGGCTCTTCTTGTGCTCCTTGAACCTTTCAGGCCTGGAGTTCTGCCATCTGAGACACACCAGAATGTTTTGTTTTCTAATCCTCGTTCTACTGAGAAGCAGCATCAGCCTTGGATCTGGAGGCAGCCCAGGACTTCTGTCAGACAGGTGTTGGACACCCCTGCTGTGACAGCCAGGAGATGTGCTGCATCACCACCACACACAACACACACCTCAACTCTCATCCTCTTTTCATCATGGAGGGTGATCTTCCAACTAAGAGAACTTCTGGGTCCCTAAAAGGACACTATACACCTAATAAAAGCACATCCTCCTTTCTCTTAGAATAGGCAAAACAGGAACATTCAGAAGACAGAGTCTTCCTTAGTGCTTCATTTACACACAGTACTGACTTTGGAGATTTAAAACAACCCAAAAAAGCAGGTTCTGACTTGTAAACACCATAATTAACTTTCCTAGAGAGACAGAAACAGTGAGGTAAGACCTTGGCATTTTTGTTGCTCTGAGTGAGTCGTGTGCTGGCACCTACCTTGGTGATTTTAAGGAACTTGGTGGGGTCCAGCACTCTGCTGTTCTTTGCCCCCTGCACAGTATTCCAACCACCTTCATCCACCCGCTGGACACCTGCCAGAGGACAAACACAACCACCCTTGGCTCATCCTAAGAACCTGGGGATCATCTCCAAGTTCAACAGGAGGAGGAAAAGCAAATGGCACAGTTCTGCTCAGACTCAGCACAATGCTATGTAGAAATCCCACCTCTCAGAGGGTTTCTTCAGACTAAGATGATATGACTAGGGGGAGATTTAGGTTGGACATTAGAAGGGAATTCTTCCCTGTGAGGGTGGTGAGAGCCTGGCCCAGGTTGCCCAGGGAAGCTGTGGCTGCCCCATCCCTGGCAGTGTTGAAGGGCAGGTTGGATGGGGCTTGGAGCAACCTGGGCTGGTGGGAGGTGTCCCTGCCCATGCAGGAGGGTTGGAACTAGATGGCCTTTAAGGTCCCCCCAACCCTTCCATGACTTTCTGAGTCTATAACTAGCCTGCTTGACTGATACTATAAAACAGCTTTGACATAAAAGTTCCCAGCATTTTCCAGGGCTGGTTTTGGCTGGGATTCTCCCAGGTTTAGGGATGAGTTCTCAGTGTGTGCAGGGATCTGGAGCCAGCTGTGCACACAGCAGGGTCACAAGCTCACAGAAGGAGCAGACATGTCTTTCCTAACCTGAAGCTGCTCTTGTTGCTCAGACCTCAGCAGCACCAGGCTAGTTCAGACCCAGAACCCCTCAGGCAGGCCCCAGCTCCTGACCTTCTCCTGAGGTCAATTTTAGGATAATTAAAACAAAGTCCATGTGTACATTCTTTAGGCCCTGTTTTCATGGTACTTCCATTTGACAATCCTTAGTATGAAAGAATCCCAATAAGCGCTTTCTTCTTGCCCACCCCTGAGTCTTCACTTTCCCAGTCACTCCAAATCCATCTCCAGGTGCTGCCAGCTTCAAGGGCTGGTAATTCAAATTCATGCCAAGACTCTTTCTCTTGCCCAGTGAACACCTCACAACTTTAACAGCTAATGTGGTTACTCGTGAAATTAGATGCTATTCTCTTGAATTGGGTTCTGCTGTAGGCAAGAATGGGTGGCAAACCTGACTCCTGCAAAGAAACTTGCTCCAACAGCTCCCTGGCAGCCTGTCACACCAGCAGGTATGGTTTGCATGAATGTGAAAACTTAAAAAACTACTGGCCTTGTTTACTTTTACTCAAGGGATTTGCCCCCCAAAATGCCACACAGCCAATCCATGGCATGTCTGTTCCTTCTCCAGCCCCAGCCACAACCAGGCCCCAATTCCCTTTACACTAATGGAAAAAAAACCTGATTTTTTTTCTTGCACGTGGGATTCCCTCTATGGCCACTGGCTGTGAAATGAATAAAAGGAGCAGCCAACTTGGCTTTTACTTTACCTGGCCTCCTCTTCTCTTTGGTCATGAGTTGTTGGACCTTTCTCTGTTCTTCCTGCTCTTCAATCTTGGCTTCTTTATGGATCTGCTCAATGGTTTTTGGGCCCTGGTCTGCTCTCCGTGACACCCAGTTGCACTAGGAAAGCAGCAAACACATGCTCAGAGATGCTTCCAGAGAGCACCATGAATGTAGGACGCAAATCCACCAACGAGGCCTAATCCTCTCACCACTGTCACCTGTTGGAGGGGCTGCTCCCTGGGTGGCTGGGGAAGATTTTGTGGTGCTAGGGGATGTTGCTGACATGATTATTCCAGCACCACAGGTCAAAACGACACACACTGGTGTTTAGACTCTGGAATGTTGGAGCTGTTGGAGTGGGTTCAGAGGAGGTCACAGGGATGATCCAAGGGCTAGAGCAGCTCTGCTCTGGAGACAGGCTGGGAGAGTTGGGGTGTTCAGCCTGGAGAAGAAAAGGCTCCAGGGAGACCTTAGAGCACCTTCCAGTGCCTGAAGGGGCTCCAGGAAAGCTGGGGAGGGGCTTGGGACAAGGGCAGGGAGGGATGGGATGAGGGGGATGGATTAAAACTGGAAGAGGGGAGACTGAGGTTGGACATGAGGAGGAAATTCTTGAGTGTGAGGGTGGTGAGACCCTGGCCCAGGTTGCCCAGGGAAGCTGTGGCTGCCCCATCCCTGGCAGTGTTGAAGGGCAGGTTGGATGGGGCTTGGAGCAGCCTGGGCTGGTGGGATGTGTCCCTGCCCATGCAGGGGGTTGGATCTTTAAGGCCCCCTCCAACCCAAACCAGTCTGGGATTCTATGATTATAATGTGCTTTGTGGGAGAGAGGAGGCTGCAGTGAAGACCTGACTTTGCAGAGGCATGACTGACTTCAAGAGGTTTTAACCCCATAGCATTCTGCACATTCCCAGCTTTCCAGTCTCTCTGGGTTCAGAGGAGCAAGATGGACTAGAGGGAAGTTGCTGTCACTCTCTATTACTGACAGTGCCTGTTGGAGCCCATCCTCCAAAGCTGAGGAAAAATAATGAAACCCTGAAAATAAAGAGGCAAGAAGTGACTCCATTTCATCTAGAGATGGAGCTTTGCCACTCCAGGGATGGGGATGGCTGACAGGAATCCTGCAGAGAGAGGTGGAGCTGTCTCTCCACAGAACATTTCCATTCTTGATGTGTCTATTCAACCATACTGCACAGATCCAGCTCTCACCAGAATGACCAGTCTGGCTTTTCATCTTGCTACAACTTCACTACAACTTTTGAGGTCATTATCTTTGTAACTTGCAGTCAAAATGGTGCCTTCAGCCTCCACAAAACCCCCAACCAGCTCCCAAACAGCAAGGGGGAGTAAAAACCTCTCAGACATTCAGTCCAGTGCTGTCCCATGGCCGAAGCTGTGCTGCTCTCAGCACCCACTTAGGTGAAATCACTGGTGCTGGGAAGGGTCTGTGCAATATGTTCACCTGCAGGGTGTAGAGACACCCCTCCACTGCACAAGACTTTGACTTCAAAACTCTTGATTACAGCTTGGGCAGGTCCCTCTCTGCACCATGTTTGCTCTTGTCTACACCAGGTTATTAATTTCTGGAGCTCAGTATGGACCCACCAACACCACAGACTCCAGTCACTGCTGTCTGCACAGTATGGCCAGTGAGCAGATGCCTGGTTGTGCTGGCAATGCAGGCTGATCCAGGACCATCTTTCCATGAAAACCATACTGCTGTGGAGGAGGAGCCCTCACAGGTCTTCTAGCCACACTAACCAGTCCCCTCACTGGTGGGCTACACATCTGGGAGCACTTTGGTCCCAGCAGCACCAGTGCGTGCTGCAGGAAACAGTTACACCCAGAGGGCACGGAAATGAGGACAGCAAAGCAGCACGGCTGACGTGGAGAAGCACAGGGAATTTCTGTGGGCAAAAACACCCCAAAACTCTCCTGTGAGGAGAGCTCAGGCCTCTCTGCTGCCATGGGGCTGGACCAGCAGCCTGAGAAGCTGCTGTGGGCATGTGTCCAACGTTAACCAAACCACCTGATGAAACAGTTCAATGCCTGCCCACCTTGGCCTTTGTAAGGCAAAAATGGAGAGAGTCCTTGTCTTGAAACACCCAGACTCTGGAGATAAAGGGTGCAGATCTCACCCTAGCATCCCACTTCTGATGTAAATTCTTGCTCTTGCATGGGAACTCCTCCAGCTTGGACATGAGTGAGTCCAGAGAAGGGCAAGGGAGCTGGGGAAGGGGCTGGAGCACAAGTGTGAGCAGGAGCAGCTGAGGGAGCTGGGGGTGTCCAGCCTGGAGACAAGGAGGTGAGGGGAGACCTGCTGGCTCTGCAGCTGCTGAGAGGAGGTTGGAGCCAGGGGGGTCGGGCTCTGCTCCCCAGGAACAAGGGATGGGACCAGAGGAAACAGCCTCAAGTTGTGCCAGGGGAGGTTTAGGTTTGATCTTGGGAACAATTTCTTCCTGGCAAGGGTTGTCAGGCCCTGGCCCAGGCTGCCCAGGGCAGGGGGGGGAGTCCCCATCCCTGGAGGGGTTTCCAAGCTGTGTAGATGTGGTGCTGAGGGACATGGGGCAGGGGTGGCCTTGGCAGTGCTGGGGTAACAACTGGACTCGATCTAAAGGTTGTTTGCAACCAAAATGATTCTGTGATTCTATGATAGGGAACATGCTCTTTTAGTTACTTAAGTTTGTACCTACCAGCCTTAGGTCTATTACATCCTGAAGCATGAACCGAATCCTTGAAGATGTTTTCCTCTCTTTCACTATCTTCTCCATCTGATTAAAATACTGGTCCATGCGAGGCTACACAAGAGAAACAGCAGCAGCAACGTGACTTGGCAGAAGATGAGACTGTTCCCTCAGGTGGGGAGTCAGTGGGTTCTGCATTACAGCATTTCTGTGCCAGAAACACATCTGGGGGCCTCTCAGAGAAGGGTCTCACACACTCCCCCCAGGGTGAGTTTGAGTGTGCTCAGTGCAGGGTGTGCAAGAAGGAGGGTGTGCAGGAAGGAGGCACAAGGCTGTTGGCACCTTCTGCACTTAGCACAGGCTTGCTCTGCATTTTCAATCACTCAAACAACCTCCACCCCCTGCATGTAGGTAAAAAACTTGTCACTCATTTAAAAAACAAAAATACATCCATGTGGTTGTTCTCATGGCACAGTGAAGCTGATCTACTGGCCAAGCTGCCACCTAAATAGAAGTCCTGCCCTACCTCTGAGCTCCTTTTCCTATCAGCCTGTGTGCTCACCTTGGGCCAAGAAAAACTGGCTCAGGAAACTGAAGAGGCATCAAACTAACCCTGAACACATCGTTTTGGTGCTTCACCTCCCAGAACTGTCTCAGCCCGGGTCAGGTGAGAGAAACAGGAGCAGAAGTGCCACTTCTGTCACCAAGGAACTGTTTAATGGGCTTAGCTGTAGTGTGAAATCCCACCAGTTCCTTTTCATCCCAAAAGTCATGATGTGATGGAATCCAAATCAGTTTGCACTAAGACATGAAATAGTATCATGAGAGAAGCCTTTGTTGGGTCGTAATTTGATTCACCAGGTTTCAAAAAGCCTTTTGCCCCAAAAAGACTTGTGTTTTTAAACAACAAAAACAAACTTTTGAGGACAGTTTTCTAAAATGTTGCCCACTCCCTTCACTAAAAACTAGTTAAACCCTTAACCAAACAAGAAAAACCCTATGAAAATGTGGTTCTGGCCTTGCCCTGGAAAGTTTCAGCTCTGAGAGCAAATGTTTCCAAAGTGAGGAATGATGGGGAAAATATTTGAAATGGACTTTGTCCAGAAGCTTGAATTGGAACTCTCACTAACACTTCAACTTCAATAAAAATGTGTCATGTGTATCCCATTAATAGAAAATAAAAGATTTTCACTCCATCTTGATAGAAATAACAAATCCCAAGGACAGGACAGGGGCAGCTTCTTCCAAGGGCTGCCATGACATCTGCAAGCAGCTCCTTGCTGCCTGCTACACAATGCCATGGCTTGAGGTTGCAGAATCAGCCAGTGCACCAAAACATTGGCTTTCGCAGTGTTTCCATGCTCACAGAGACCAGAAGACCATCCAGAACCCATCCAGCATGACCTCAGCTCCTGCTTACAAGTCAGACCCTGTTTTCTTCCAAAAGCTCATGGAGAAACTTAGTCCCCACTTCTGGTCCTTTCAAACCTGCCTCAGTAAGACATGGGCTGTTGTGTCAACAGCCACGGGGACCCACCCTGGGGCACTGGTGGTAAAACACACTATTTTGGTCAATGCTCCACAAAAAGAGTCTGGAAAACTTGTTTCTCCATCAGAATCAGGATTGATCTGCTGTGATCCCTGCAATCCAGCAAACTGGAAGGGAACTCCCTTTCCTGAGCAGCTGAAAACCATTAAGCTCAGTTTGTTTCCAGAGCAGAGTCCCACTAATTGCTGGCAAAACCCTCAAGTGCTTTTTCATCCCCAGCCTGGTTTTTGCAGCAGCAGCAGCAGGAGATTGTCTTTGCCAGGAGCAGCTCAGCAAGCGTGTAACACTCCAGGCTGGATATACATTTGTTGGGAAGAGGGCAGGAGGATGCTGGAGCACTGCAGCTTTAAAACAGCTGCTTCATTCCAGCAGAGCTGGAGACAACAATGACACCAAATCAATGAACCCACCAAGGTTCTTGTGGGGGTTTAGGCCAGTTAATGAGGGTTTTTTTTAGATTGAACCTAAACGACACGTTAAGTGGTAGATTTGGTAGGTTATATAAAGCCCTTCAGTGGTAAAGAGACAACTCTAGATAACGTTTTAGAAACTACCAGATAAGAGGTACATTCATTGGAAAAAAAGTAAATATTGAGCATTTCTAGACTGTGTTTTTGGATGAAATATTTGGGAACAACCAACAACTGGAGAACACCTTTGAAAACAACACAGAATCTACAAGGGAGTCAGGCCAGGTCATGATGAAACATCCACAGAAGAGGGGATGATTTCCTCAGGTTGTACAGGAATTCCAGAAGGAAAAAAAACACCTCCTCAAATAAAAACACCCCAGACCCATTTTTCCATCCCTGCCCAGAAAACCTCAGCTCTGCCCCCCTCCAAGTCCTGCCCTACCTTTGCTTTCTCAAAGTCCAGGTCCTTGCCAATGGTGGTCAGCAGGCGGCAAAGGCACTCGAGGGACTCCTCGTCGTGGTTTTTCAGCAGCTTCACCACACAGTCATGCATGATGGCTTCTGTCAGCATCTTCAGTTTGAAAAGCTCACCAATGAATTTGATATTCCCAATGGATCTTCGCCGGGCTTTGTCCTTGGCCTCTTCCAGCTCATCGTGGAGCCGCGTCTTCTCCTCTGGCTGTATAAGAGAGAAACAGCTCTAAAAAAAACATGTTCACAGAGCACAAAACTCTTCAAAAGATAAAGTTTGTAGTTCCTGTTGTCCCCGTTTACCCTTTTTCTCCTAAAAAAGAACAAAAAAGAAGCTGGTACAACCTGCTAATCAAAGCAAACTTTGTTTATTGTACTTGGCTACAGCGACAGAATGAAATTCTCAACTAAAAAATTCCCCCCAAACCACAGAATCACAGAAGATTAGGGGCTGGAAGGGACCTTGAAGGATCACCTTGAAGGTCCAACCCCCTTGCTAGAGCAGGATCCCCTAGAGCAGATCCCACAGGAACACATCCAGGCGGGTTTGGAATGTCTCCAGGGATGGAGACTCCACAGCCTCCCTGGGCAGCCTGGCCCAGGGCTCTGCCACCCTCACAATAAACAAGTTTTTCCTTATGTTTACGTGGAACCTCCTAAAGTTGACTGCCAGCTTCAAAAGAGATGGGTTTCAGGAGCAGCTCTGAGAGCTTATGAGGAAAAACACCACTTACAGTGGTAGCAGCTTCAAGCTCCTTCTGCTTCTTTTCAAAGACATCATCATCAGCCTTGTCCTTCTCAAACTCCTTCTGGCAGCGATTCAACAGCAACTTGCGGAAATTCACTGTGCTCCCAGGTTTGTCTGCCATGGGCACCTTCAGCTGCAGGAGAAGGGAGAAAAACATTAGCAGGAACATGGCTAAACTCTCCAGATGTCCTATAAACCACCTACTACATTTTACTGTGCCCTCCCTATTCAGCAGCCCCAGCCTGTGAAGCTGTGACATGATTTCCAGAGGAGTTTTACATTTCATACGTCAAGTCACACTCAAAACTTGGCTGACACCTTCTCCACCCAGAGACAGATCACATTTCCATTCACAGGATCCTTTAGAAAGACACATTGCTTAAAAACACTTCATGTGCTGAAGACTGCAGAGCTGTGCTCCTTCATTGCATGGCATGAAGGATCAGGGGGAAAAGGGGTTATTTTGTTCCAAATTCACCATGTGAAAACTAACTATCTGAAGCTTGGCTGGGCACCTTGGGCTCCCCTTGGAAATGAGAAATTGAATTTTCCAGGCAGAGCAAAGTGCCCTCAGCTCCAACCACCACATGGCTCCAAGCAAAGCCCTCTGCCTGCAGGCAGGGCCAATGGGTGTAGAAGAACGAATCCATCATGTAAATGACTTTTATTTATGTAGAGCATCAATTAAACATCTTTCCATAAGAGAAGATACTAGTGATGGAAAACACTGGAGGGTTGGTGAGATCTCTTTCCCATTACTTCATACTGAGTTACTTTCTCCATTGGAAGTGGGGAAGAGCTGAAAACAGCCCAGGGTTTCAGATGGTGGTGGCCTTCCAGTACCTGAAGGGGTTGCAGGAAAGCTGGGGAGGGACTTTGGGCTTGTAGTGAGAGGAGATGAGGTGATGGATTAAAACTGGAAGAGGAGAGATTGAGGTTGGACATGAGGAGGAAATTCTTCCCTGTGTGAGGGTGGTGAGAGCCTGGCCCAGGTTGTCCAGGGAAGCTGTGGCTGCCCCATCCCTGGCAGTGTTGAAGGGCAGGTTGGATGGGGCTTGGAGCAGCCTGGGCTGCTGGGAGGTGTCCCTGCCCATGCAGGGGGGTTGGAACTGGATGATCTTCATGGTCCCTTCCAACCCAAACCAGTCTGGGATTCAGAAAATAAGACTTCACTCTGCTCTTGCCAAACTTATGTTACTGCCCATCAGTTTGTGGGGATAAGGTGCAGAACATCCATCTGTGCAGAGGAATTTCCCACGGCTCTTACCGTCACGAGACACCTGCACATGTTGGCATAGGCCACTGAGAAGCTGGGCTCATCGATGGCCTTCTCGAAGACCAGGTCAATGACTCCTTTCAGCCTCTCTTCTGTATCCACTGTCAGGTCTGTCACTTGCTTCATGAGCTGATTGAACATCTGGGGGGTCAGCTTGTTCAAGATGCTTCGGACCTTGCGGAACAGCTCCTGAATGACAGAGACATGAGGCTGAGGCACAAAGCAAACAGGTGGCTCTTGGAAATGACCTGGGATGCAGGTCAACAGAGAAGATGTCCACAGGAGCTTCCAGGAAGCTGAGTTATACACAGACCTATCTGTGCATGGTCCAGCTCCAGTCCTAACTCAGCTACCAAAGACCTGCAGGGAAGGATTTTTGGAAACACCCATGTGCAGTTTTCAAGCATGACAGAGGCACAAAGCCCTTGCAGACACCCAGCTGAAATACTCCTCTTGACATCAATTTAGCCATGAGATTTAAGTTAACAAGGAGTGGCCTCCTCCTCCCCCAACCAGAGAGCACCAACTTCCATATTTACTTTAAGGCACTTTATTTTTCCCATCCAGCACGAGATCAACAACGCTGCCATCAGCCCCAGGAACATAATTCCAGTGTCCTTCAAAACTGTCCCAACTTATCCCACAAATTCTAAATCTGACCACCAGGCAAACACCTCCACCCAGAGTGGCTGCCCCATGGAGGAGAGGAGGGGGAAGAGGATATAGAGAAACCTTCATAGATGGCACCATTGGGCTGGGCAGAACAAACTGACAGAGGTTTGCTGAGGTTCAGGGCACAAATGTCATCTAAAAGGGGATGAAAAGCAAGTTCTGTGCTGGAAGCTTGAGGTTGTTTGCTTTAGAATGGTGACAGATGTTCTAGTAAAACAATCCTGGAAGAGAGGTAGTAGGTTGTCTGGTGTTCCCTGTTTAGACTCACTATACAGGATTGGCATTTAAACTCCAGGTCAGGAATAAACACATGGAAAAAAGAATCAAAAGAAGGGAAAGCTGTGATTCAAACTAGAATTCGTTGCTCTTTTTCACTGTCTTACACAACAGCAAATTCCCACCCTCCTCCTGTTACCAGTTGCTGTGCTCAGACGCCCCTGCTGATGCTCTCACCTGGGTTTTGACGTTTTCTGGGTCCTCTGTTTGGTTTTCTCTCTTCAGACTTGGCTTCCAGGCGTTCTCTGCCTTCTTCAGGTGGACATCCTCCTTCACACAGACAGTGATGATCTTCCTGGGCTCTCTCCTCTGGCCTGGCTGAGATCTCCTCGGTCCAACATTCAACAACTACGACAAAAACATTTCTTGTTATATCCCCTTTTAAACTTGGATCTTTGATAAAACCCTCTGGGGCACACGCCAACACCCGCTGATGGCAACAGGAACAAGCAGCAACTCCTCCTAGGACTCTGAGGACTCCCTCCGATCCAACACACCAGGTCCAGGTTGGTCAGAGGGAATGTGAAAGACACCAAACACATTTTGGGCAGCTTTTCCCAAAACACACATGGGATGACCACTGCCTGCACACCCCAGTGATGCTCCGGATGCTGCCCAAGTGCTGCAGAACTCAACCCAACTGACCAAAACCTCTTGAAAGCCAGAAACTGCATCACTGACAAGGTGGCAAAGGTGGATTTAAGGATTAAGTCAATCTTTACAAGTGCACTTCCAATGTGCCATCCCAAGGGGTTAGATAATGATCAGTTCTGCCAAAATGAGGAGGTTATACTGGAAATTGCTTCCAGCAGAGCCATTTGGAGACAGGAATTCTATAAAACACAGCACATGGAGCATCAAGTGCTGCTGCCCCATGGTCAAAGTGTGGATCCTAACAGATGTGGGTCAAAGTCTTTGTAGTTTGACAGAAGAAAGGGAAACCCAGCACATTGTCTGGAACAGTATCAAGAGCTTCTGTGCAATCCTATACAACATGATGCTCCTCCTGGTCAAGTCAGGTATTAGAACTGCCCAAACTGGGGAGTTTTAAATTGGTTCTACAAGCAAGAGAGCACAAGATGCCCCCAAACACCCTCTTTATCATCTGGGAGCTTGTTGATTACAGACTAAAAGTGTCAAGTGTTGTTGGGAGGTTATTCCTCCCCTGCGCTCTTTCATATTTCTGAACTCATTATCAGAAATGCCCAACTTCAAAATACAAATTACTGCAGAACTAAACTTCTTTATCAAACCCTGCTACTTTGCACAAAGGTGATTAATCTCCTCACTGGGCAGTAGGCAACCTCCCCCTGCAAGGTGGGCCATGGGAAATGGTTTTTTATTCAAGAGAGGGATGCAGTGAGCACCAGAGAGGCAAACCAACCTCAGGGATTCCAACAGCTTCACCAAGTACACGGGGAGAAGCTCTTGGCTGGTGCCTCTCCTGTCATATGTCAGCCCCAAACCCACCTTTGCACAATTAAAAAAGAGAACCCTCCTTAAAGGCAGGAATTGTGTCTGTGATGTTAACCACTTGGATTTGATGATGTAAATATGTGTCAAGGATGAAGGCAAACACATCATCACCCAGTGCTGGAGTTCCTGTCTGGGCTTTGTTCTGTGATAACAGCAATGGAATAAGATGTTGTCAAAAGACCAAGACCTCGGGCTGTGCTGTGCTCTGCAGGCCGAGGCGACGTGCAAGAAGGCTACGTGGTGCAGGGTGTTCATGTCCTGTCCCACCACCTCTGAAGACCCGTGTTCAGACCCTGCTGGCACATCAGACACAACCCACCAGGCTCCTGCAGACCTTGTTGGGCGCACACCGAGACTGGAAAGCAACGGCCAAGCTGACTGCTCCCAGGAAACCAACAGAACAGGGGGAACGGGGAGCCCTGATGGTGCTTTTATGTGTCAGACACTGTCCTGGAACAGCTGCCAGCTCCTCCCCACAACCCCTCTCTGCTCCCACCCAGAGACTGTGATCGGCACCGGTACGACGCAGCAGCATCTGCTTTGCAGCCCTGCCCTGAGACACCAGCCCTGCCTTGTGCAATTTCAAGCAGTTTTGCTGCCCAGGTTCTAACCACACTGCAATCGCACAGCTTTGGAGAGAAGAAATTTCCCTCTAGCTGAAAAACCAGACAACAAAGCAACACAAAACTAACCAGTTTCAGCCAAGCATGTTAGACCTCACCCCACACCTCCCTGCCCACAACCCTTGGCAACCAGAGCCAGTGTGCCCTGAGAATAACAGAACCATGGAATGGTTTGAGTTGGAAGGGACCTTAAAAGATCATCCAGTTCCAACCCCCCTGCATGGGCAGGGACACCTCCCACCAGCCCAGGTTGCTCCAAGCCCCATCCAACCTGCCCTTCAACACTGCCAGGGATGGGGCAGCCACAGCTTCCCTGGGCAACCTGGGCCAGGCTCTCACCACCCTCACAGCAAAGAATTTCCTCCTCATGTCCAACCTCAATCTCCCCTCTTTCAGCTTGAAACTATTCCCTTTCATCCCATCCCTCCCTGCCCTTGTCCCAAGTCCCTCCCCAGCTTTCCTGGAGCCTCTTCAGGCACTGGAAGGTGCTCTAAGGTCTCCCTGGAGCCTTCTCTTCTCCAGGCTGAACACCCCAACTCTCCCAGCCTGTCTCCAGAGCAGAGCTGCTCCAGCCCTTGGATCATCTCTGTGGCCTCCTCTGGACTCACTCAAACAGCTCCAGGTCCTTCTTATGCTGGGGGCTCCAGAACTGGACACAGTGCTCCAGGTGGGGTCTCAGCAGAGCAGAGGGGACAATCCCCTCCCTGGCCCTGCTGGTCACTCTGCTGGTCACAAAGTCCAGGACACAGTTGGTTTCTGAGCTCCAGTGCACGGTAACAGCTCCTGTTGAGCTTCTCATCACCCAACTCCCCCAAGGTCCTTCTCCTCAGAGCTCTTATTGATGTAAATCAAAACATTTGGGCTTATTTCCCAGGAACAGGGGCAAAGCTGACAAGAGATGACCTGTGACAACCCATCACTCCTGCACAGAGGCAGCTCTGAAGGACCTTCCAACCACAGCCAGGCTGGGACGCACCAGCACGCACGGGGCTCCTGCGGGGACGGGTCCAGGCAACACCCTTTGTGTTTTACTTTAAGATCTTAAAATTTTTAACACTTTAAGACTGTATTTTCTTTTAATTATCTGCAAATACACTTGGTTCAAACTCTTTGATTTGGTTTGAAAGCAGAGAACAGAAGCCTCCTTTGAACGCCTAATAAAATAATACTCAAATTTAACTTTTAACAGAAAAAATCTGGGGGTTTTTTGGTTCCAAATTTACAAAGTGGGAAGTTAAAGAGGTGCTTGAGCTCAGCCAGGCCCCCCCTCTTTGTAACCCAGTCCAAGGAAAGGAGAACAGCTCTGCAGCTCCTGCAGTTACAGCACTACAACCTGCACTGAAACTCTGTTTTCCACCAAAAGCACAGAGAAGTGCTGAGCAGATGTTACTGCATCAACCTGAATTACCTGTTGTCTGGATGAAGAGAGGAGAAAAAAGCAAAGCAGAAGGAAACAGGGACAAGACTCCCCCAAGGAGCCAAAGCACCACAACACAACCTGGGGCTCTCCTTCCCAGTCTGCTCTTGGGACAGGGGTCACAGTCATGCTTTAAAAATCACCTGAGGACCTAAAGAGCTGCTCCTCCCTCAAACAACAGGCTTCAAATGCAGAAGGTGAAACTGAGCTTAGATGCCAGGAGTAACTCTGCCTTCAAGGAAGCACGAGAAACAGAGTCAGAGGCAGGGGTTGGAAGGGACCTCTGTAGATCATCTAGTCCAGCCCCCTGCCAAAGCAGGATCTCCTAGAGCAGATCCCACAGGAACAGGTCCAGGGGGGATTGGAATGTCTCCAGGGATGGAGACTTCACAACCTCCCTGGGCAGCCTGTCCCAGGGCTCTTGTTACCCTCACAGTAAACAAGTTCTTCCTTATGTTCAACTTGACCCTCCTGTGCTCCACTTTTTGCCCACTGTCCCTTGTCCTGTCACTGGACACCCCTGAGCAGAGTCTGGACCCATCCTCTTGTAGACATTGATCAGCACTGATCAGATCCCCCCTCAGGCTCCTCCTCTCCAGCTGAACAGCCCCAGCTCTCCCAGCCTTTCCTCACAGGCAGATGCTCCAGCCCCCTCAGCATCTCAGTGCCCTGTGCTTGGCTCTCTCCAGTAGCTCCTTGTCCTTCATGAACTGGGGAGCCCAGACCTACACCCAGTGCTCTGGGTGAGGCCTCACCAATTGAGGTGACTCCAGTTTCCATTGCCTCTTAGGAAGGATAAAGGCAGGTCTGCACCTGTGGACCAGTCCTCTCCAACCCTAGCTCCCTGTGTTTGCAGGTTGTTACCTGCTGTGCTCCTCTAACTTCTTGTCTACACCAAACCCCCTCCACCAGCTGCACTCAGCTCCTCTGTGGTTCCACCCCTGGCGGCGCCTGACGTGACATTTGTTAGTTCTAAGAACACTCGTACAAGACGTTGAAGCAAAAAAAAAGAAGGAAATCAAGACAAAAGCCAAGGAAGCAAAACAAAAGCTTCTCGATGTGCCGGAAGCCGGTTAGCGCCGAGCTGCTGGTGTTACTGGGAGGGCAAGGAAGAGGCAGTGGGGTTTGATGGTTCATGGGCATGGCCTGTGCAGAGGTGGGATGACCGAGTGGACGCAGCGCACACGCAGGTTCGCTTGCCATGCTGAACGAGAAGAGAACGACTGGTTTTTGCTCGGGGCCGAGAACCTTCTCCTCCTGTCAGCTCTGAGGCCAGCTCGGTAAACAACGTCACCTCCCGACCCTCCTGAAGGAAAACCCAAAGCCAGGCTCTGCTCTGGACAGGCGCAAATGTAAGATGCATGTTATGTGCTGAATGCTCCAAATGAACGGGGTAAGCAGGACTTACCTTTTCTCCCCCTTTCCACAGGTCTGCAAAGTGCAGACCCCTCGCAGATCCCGCTCAGGCCAACGTCCCAGCATGCCCTCAGCTGGTGATGTCCCACCCACCACTGAAGACTGCCTAGAGGGGTACAATGCAAGTCTGGTTTCGTTTTGGTTTTTTTTTTTTAAACAAGGTTGCACCTTTTTGTAAAGTTTTCTGCCAGGCTTTCTTTATCAAACAGTGGGTGTTCGGGGAAAAAGACAACTCTACAAAAAGGTGCAAAGAGTGGGGGGGAGAGGGGGGGATTTGGCTTACCCCTGTTGGCAGGTTCCTCAATGGTGGGTGAGGCGAGACCAAGAGAGGGCATGCTGGGGAACCGCACCGAGCCAGGGAAGGCAATCCAGGGTTGCTCTGCACTTTGCAGGCCTGTGGGAAGAGAAAGAGTGACAGGGACGTTACCAAGGTGCCGAGAGGCTGGGGACATTCAGCGCATGAGAGGAGGAGAGAAGGCGCCGGGTACAACCTGCAAGTCCTAACCACGGCAAGCGACGCGGACCTCAAACAGCATCGAGGTTTTTGGTGCTCCAAGAGAAACCACGACAACGAAGCTACTCCAAGACATGGACAAGCACCCCAGAGCTGAGGCACTGGCCACCAGACTGCTCTCAAACAAGAAATACCACATCAACTCAACATCGATGAGCTCCAAGCCTCCTGAAAATCCACACACTTGGAAGTCAAGGTTATTAAGTGAAGTCTTCTGAGACTGGTGATTTTGAAAGAGAAATGACGGTTGTTTCATTAGATGTATCTGTGTAGATACATTGGATGTACTGTGAGAGACAGATGAGAAGTCCATGACTGTGCCCAACGGAGGCAGATCCATCCTCCAGCTGGGGCTGACTGGGCAGCACTGTGCTGGGGGGGCACTCACACCCCAAGAACAAGGGGTGGCCAAGGCAAGAAGAAAAAACTCAGAGAGAGACTTCAGAGTTTGGGCAAAGCCAGACACAGCAAGAAGAGGAGATGAAAGGAAAGCAGAAGAAAAGGCAGGAAAACCAAGAATGAAGTGACTGAAGCAAAGCAACACATGGAAGCACAAGAGAAAGCTGGAACACAGAGCTGTATAGATCCTTTTTTTTGGGTTAGTAAAATCTCCTTGCTCTCCTGGCATGTTTTTTAACCCAGAGTCCTACCAAGACACACACTGGCCAGGCTGCTCTCCCCGAAGTGTGCGCTGGCACACGGGTGGCTGCCAGGCCCTCAGTGTGGAAACATCTTTCCACACCTCTTGCACAAGAAGGACATTAAATCCATTTCACACTAATACAGACCAGTTAAAAACATCCACAAGTTTTTTCTAAATTGCCTACATTTTGACAGCCAAGTAAAAAAAATATCAAATCACCCTGCCATTCATCCTGACAAAACCAGAACCACAGGAGCATCGGAAAAGGCCCAAAAGTGTGAGGATGGACTCCATCGGTGTTAAGGCCAGTTTTTAAATTAGCAAGTTGGGGTAAACTCACACTTCCAGGTACGTTTCTTCCACCAGGGGTTTGCCTCCCAAAATCAGCAAAGGCTGGTGTGAAGTCTGGTCCTCGAGGCAGTATCCGAGGGTCCAGAGTTCTCAGGGGCAATTTCGGCTGATTGACCTGCATGGTGGAGCAGAATAAACAGGATCTGTTCAGCAGTGCTGCAGCTACCAAAGCTCATGCAAATCTACAGACAACCCCTGCTAAACCCTACCAGTCATATTTGATGTCCAAATTAATGCTTTTAACAAACTGTGCAAGTTTTATGCATCCACACTTAGCTTAAAATACTCCTTTAATATAAAATACGTCTTTTGCAGGTGACTATCGAGGAAGGAGTTCAGAAACATTTCAAGGCTGAGCATGACCTATGGAGGATGGTGACAAGGGCCTGTCTTCTGCAAATTGAATGTGATTGGCTTGGTTCAGGATCACAAAACTTCCCTCAAACAAATGTGTTTTGTGTTAACTAGACAGAGAGCTGGGCAAGCAAAGAAAGCTCAACAGCAGAGAGAGCTGAGGAGCAACCACGGAAAACTAGTAGGTGGATGAACTCATTTTGGGAACAAAGCTGGTGTTTTACAACTTGTCTGGGTAGGAAATTCAGAATGGAAATGCTTCTGCACATGATCATCCCCTACATCCTGATCTCTTAAGAGTGAGTCTGTGGTGGTTACATGAAAATCAATGAGCTGCGTTGTTCTAACCAAGAATGGTCTTGGTGACACCACTTAGGAAACAACAAAGATTCCAATGAGGCCAAACGTGGAGCAGAGAAAATCACATCAGTGGTGAGGCCAGAGAGGAATCACCCAACTTCTTGAGAGTGAGGGTTTCAAAGATCTTTTATCAGGTCAGCTCATGAACAGTAACACAACTGTTTCAGACCCAAAAAAAAGAGTTTGCCCAAAAGCTTCCCTGCACTTCCTAACCACAGAACAAAAGACACTGTCTTCCTGCTCAGTCTTGCTTTGCTTATATCCATTCTCTTCATGGATATATAATTTTAAATTTTAATAACAACCCAGCAGAACTTAATCCAGAGAGAGACCATTAAAAACCCTTCAGTTTTTAAATAACCTGTGTACATTCATTGGGCATCAACAACCTCCATATGAAGCATTTTGCCATGACAGCAGCCAAATGTTTCCCCTTCCCAAAAGGACTGCACTGAAATGGTCAAGGAATGAAGCATTAGGGATCTTTATTAATATTAAAAAACCCATGGCACTCACCTGTTTTATTGGCTCTCCTCTCACCTTGTCGAGCACCACATCACTAATGGCAGGCAGCCCCTCTGGCTTCTGGATACAGGCAGGCATGAACTGGAAATCCAGGAGGAATTCCCGGTCATACTGCTTCTTCCCCTCTGGATCCAGGGGCTTCCACTGCTCTATAAGGAGAGAAGGTGCCTGAGATTCACAGAGAACAAAGCCCTCTGCTCTCCGAGATGCATTTCAGGTAAATCCAAAGGGAAGAGATTGCTGCTTGTTTGGGAAATGTTACTTTATTTTGATTGTGAAGGCAGCGAGGAGAGGGATACACCTCCCAGCCCAGGAACATCAACAAAGGGGAACTTAAGAGCCAACTCCAGCTGCTGCCACACATGGAACTAATCACCAATCCTGCTTTTATCCCACATTTTAACTCTGACTTGAGATGACTCTGTCATCTCATTTTAACTCTGACTTCCACACTCTGGTGTGACATGATGGAATGGGAATGATTCCCAGTTTCTGGGTGAAAACATAGCAGTTAAAGCACTGTTTTTTTGTAAAAGGGAATGAGAAATGCTGAGGAGAGCACCACGCAGGACAAAAAGATTCTTTGAAAATGTTAAAGCATGAAGCGTTAAACAACCACACTGGAGAGAACAGTGGGAACTGAAAGAAAACATAGGACCACAGGCCAGGCTCTCAGAATTACAACTCTTCACCTGTTTTTTGAGGGTTTTCTGGGCAGGAGAACTGCAGAGCAGAGGATCTTGCCTGATGCAAATCAAAATACAAACCTACTGCCTCTTCAGGCCAGGGAAAATCACCCTCCAGTGGCTGAGAGACAGAATTTTGTTTTGCTGGCCACACAGTTTGTCTGAAGTCAGAAATGAAATCAGGGGTTTGCTCAGCAGGCAGGGGGACTAGTCAGGCCCCTAAGTGGGGGGGGGGACACACATTTTGATGTGAAGGAAAATATCTGTATGAGATGCCACCTTTGCTTTCCACTGGTGCCAAAATTTATCCAGCAGCTCAGTTTGCTGTTAAGGTTTTTTATTATTTCCTTATTTTAGTCTCTGATCTTTTAGGTCTCTGGGATCTCACCATCCTCATCCCTGCAGAGGCTACAAGCAGGAATTTAATTTAACTGATGGATTCTAATAACCGGGAATGAAAAGACACAAAAGTAATTACAATTTTTAGCAATTTGTGTAGTTTTATTTCTACAGAGCTTCAGGATAAAAGGGTGCAGAAAATGGTTTGGCTGGCTAGCTGTGTCCCAGCCAGAATTCCCAGCCAGCAGCCTAGCCACTGTGCCACAACATGCTCCATTGATCATGAAAACATACCAACAGCAACCATAACCAGTTTCAATGTTCAGTTTCCTTCTCCTGGGAGGAGCTGAACCAGCTGTTTTAACATGAAAAGCAGCCGAGCAGCATCACAGGCAGCCTCTGCATCCCCAGCGAGGGGAGATGGCTCCTGCAGCCACCCAAAAAGGCAAAAATCCCCCTTTTTAGACAGAGCAGAGTTGAAATTGAAGATTTTTGCCCCAAGTGGCCAGGTCCACTTTGCAGCAGACAAGTCCTCTGTGTGCTGCTTTTGAAGGGATCAATCCAACCCCTCCAGCTGAGCGGAAGCACATCCAGCCCAACCGCGATCGTTCTGACTGCATCGAGTGTTTCGGAGAGACAGCTGATGAATTATGGATTAACTTCACCATGTGCTTAACTAATGAACTGGGAAGCTCTCCTCAGTGTGTGGGAGACTATCAAGAGGCCTCTACATTTCTCCTAATGATACGATACCACCAAATTAATAAAAGAAAGGCAACTCAGGTCTTTGTCAGAACAAAGCGGCGCTGAATTAACAACCACAAGGTAATCACTTAATGGTGCTGCTCCTTCCCCATACCTTGTCCAGGCTCTCATGGTCCTTCCTTATTTTGTTTTATATTCTTTAATCTCTGAGCTCTTAAGAAAATTACTAATTTATCTGGCGGGATCTTCACCTGAGTAAGAAATGGCTTAAAATTTGTAGCAACTGAGAAGTAAGTCGGTCTCAAGGTCTCTCAGTTAATAGAGGTTCAGGTCTACACATTAAATATCTTCATATTTAACAAAACATCCCTTAGGTGGCCAACATCCAGTACTAAACAGCAACAAAAGGACTGAATCCTGTGAGCACACACTGAAATTATTTAATCAAAAGACCTGCAGGCTCACAGTTAAATGGCAAAGCCTGGACTGAAAACCATGTGCTTTTTCTCTTTTTCTTTCTCTTCTAGATATCTGAAGATCTGTGCAACTGTTCAGCCAGGAAATTAAACCTACATAAACACATACACTCAGTTTTTGTACCCAGTCAGAACCTTCAAATCCCTTCTTTAACAAGTACATCCACTTAGATGGAATTTCTTGGATCATTCTCAGCTGTTGATCGCACGGGAACCAATTCGCTGCCATTTCCACTCTGCTACAGCCAACACCCACACGTGCAATAAATTCAAGGTATGGGGGATTTTCTCTTTTCTTCATTCCCACCAGCAAGAGAAAACAACTTTCCTGTTGCGCTTCCCCTAAGACTGTCTCAGAGCCTGTTGGTTGATGGATCCCAGTGGAGCTGGACACAGTGAAATGCTGTACCAGCCCTTCTGGCTCCTTCCAGCCCCACTGGAAACATCTTTCACTTTGTGGGGAGGGTGTGAGCAGCCCTTTAAGGAGGGAGGAGACAGAAAACCAAGCAAGCATGGGAGAGTGAAACAGGATTTACCTGGTTTGTACTGGCAGGCTGGCCCTTCACTGGAGCTCTCTGTGCAGCCCGAGTTCCCCTCAGTTCCTTCTCCCTCCGAGACGCTTTCAGCCCCGTTCCGCACCGGTTCTGCTTCCTGCTCCCCATTCTCTTCCACAGGTTTCACTTTTTTAAGCTCCAAGGGGTCTCTCTCCAGTTGCAACCCCTGGCTCATTTTCTCCTGCTCAGATTCAAGTACTTTGTCACCTGAAAGTTCCTCTTCTACTTCAGGCTGAAGCACAGATGGGGACAGAGGTGACGTTAAAAACACTCCACCAAAATTCAAACCACAAAATGGTTCTTCACTTATTCATCCAGCATTTCTGCTTGGACCAAGAATATACATATATATATGCATCTTAAACAGCAACAGGGAGAGCTGGAACAACACACAGAGCAACTGGTTGCTGTACTGGTTCCTTCCTGGAGACAACCCCTGACAATGAACAGTGCACTGGAAAGACCTTGTGCTGCCTGTGAAATCCCCAGGAGCTACTGGGATGGGATGAACAGTTAAGCCCCCTGGCACAACAGCCATGAGCAATCCCAGCCTGGAAAAACAACTTCCCTTTTCCCCTCTCCTGAAGCTCACCAGCTGCTTTTAAGGGAATGCTGCTCTTATTTATGGGGGATCCTTCCTTTAGATGTAGGCTGCTACCTGGAGCAGATCCCAATCCAGAAGGTAATGTGACAAACAGCCACAGCTTCAGCATCCCGGTTTCAGGGACAAACCAGGAATGGTAGCCCTGGCTGTTGGTTTTAGAGCTCTCCAAGGAGAGCTCATGTTCTCCATGCAGACAGAGGAGGTGGTAGGAACGTGCTTCTCCTGGGAGAAACCCCATCCCAGGTAAGCATTAAACAAAGGGAAAGCTCCATTGTGGATGTGTCAGAAGAGCCTCTTGATCCTTTTGCCTCCCCACCTGAGGGAACCTCCCCCTAAAATGTGTTGTTCAGATTTTTCAAGGGAATACTCTGCAAAACGAGCACTGGTGAAAATGCCAAGTCATCCAGGAGACAAGACTCCTCCCACCAATGATGAAGAAAGCACAGAGTGCAAACTGGCTGCTGCAGCCCCACAACATCCTTCTCTCTCTGGCTTGGAAACAAGCACAGGGATGCTTTTCATTTCCTTGGATTGTCCAACCATCACTTTCAGCACAGACCAGCTGGTGGCACTTGGCACCCTGCACATGTTTTAAGCATCTACTCCCCCAAAGAGAGGGGAGAGCACCTCTACACCATTTGCAAAATGGAAATGAGCTGTTCTGCTGCTTCAGTGGAGGAACCACAAGCACTGGCCTACACCAAGGTGAAGCTCTGTCCTCTGGACTGGAGACTGACCCTGCAACACCAGCTTTTGGAGAGGAGAGGTTCAACCATGTTTGTGGGAAGGGAAAGTTGGGGAGGGAATCACAGACAAATCATAACTGAGGAAAAACTGGGAGTGAAGCAGCACTGCTGCTCTGCCTCACATTTGGGCAACAGCAAGTTTTATATAAGCACAGGACAGGCTGAATTATTACATTTTTACTCTCTTAGTCCATTTCTGATTTCTAACCCAAATTTCACCCAGGATATTAAACAGAGATTCCTCCTGCAATATCCCTACCAGAACAGCAGTAAGGGAGGGCTTGATTACTCATCTCATTACTGTAGAGGTGATTTTGCCTGAGAACTTCAAGGTTTTTCTTCCCCAGTTTCTCCTTCAGGTGGTCGCCAGGAAAACTAACCTTGGGCTGTGACATATATACTATGACATCCCTGGGCAGCAGAACCTGCCAAATGTCACCACAGCAGCCAGGGACCCAACGGGGGATTCAAACCCACTTTTATAGAATCATAGAATGGTTTGGGTTGGAAAGGACCTTAAAGACCATCTAGATCCAACCTCCCTGCATGGGCAGGGACACCTCCCACCAGCCCAGGTTGCTCAGAGCTCCTTCACTGGAATCATGGAATCACAGAATGTGTGAGGTTGGAAGGAACCCTGAAAGGTCAGCCAGCCCAACCCCCCTGCAGTGAGCAGGAGTATCTCAACTTGATCAGGTTGTTGAGAGCCCCGTCAAACCTGACCTTGAAAGTATCCAGGGATGGGACCTCCACCACCTGTCTAGACAACCTGTTCCAGTGCCTCACCACTCTCACAGTGAAGAATTTCTTCCTAATGTCCAACCTAAATCTCCCCTGTCCCAGTTTCAGACCATTGCTCCTATCACCACACGCCCTTGCAGTGCAGGAAGGACAGCAGCTCCATGTTCTTGAACATTGGGAGCCATTAAATTAGACAAAAAGGAAGAAAACTGAAGAAATCCCACTAAAATGCTGGCAAATATCACAGCTTCACACTCCACCTCCCCCCAAAAAAAGTCTGCCCTGGACCTTTGTGAGAAAACCAGGAACCAAGGTGTCCAGAACTCAGTTTAGAGACCTCAATGTCATCATTAAATTTGAATTAATGAAAAGTGTGGCTCCTTCTTACCTCTGTTTCTGCCTCTGTCACGTCCTCAGTGGCTTGGGTCTGGTCTTTTGGTTTCTTCCACGTCTTTGGTGCAGTTACAGTTGTTTGGGCTGCAATATAAGTTACATCCATTACAACACTCAATTATATGGAAGGAATTTGGCCCTGGGTGATGTGCTTCCCTCTGCTCCACACACAGGGAAATGAAGCAGTCACAGCCCAGCAAAGGATCCAGCTTGATAGAACCACTTTTTGTTTCAATGAGGTAATAGTGACATTAAGACACAATCATTGTTCTACAAGTTGCTGGTTCAAGCTCAAAATGGCCCTTGTGAGAGCCAAGAGTTTGTTACCTGCACCATAAGGATCACACAGAGCAGAAGAAAACCTTCAGACACTGAATTTGTGTGAAAAATCAAGTATTGGCTGGGAGTGAAGGTTGTTCCCCACATATTCTTCTCAAGAAATATTCTAAGAATTAACCATCATCTGGACTGTAACCACAACCAGGCCAAAAATTCCAGCACTTCATCCAAAAGGACAACTCCTTCCATCTCACACTGGTGGCTCTCCTGATGGATATTTCCATTTCAAAGCAGGTGAACAACTCCCCCAGTCACTGATTTCCCTGGCCAACCCCTTCAAAGAAAACACCAGATAATATTCCTAACATCAGCAGTGATTTACTCCCAACAGTTTTCCCCCTCCGAAGGGTAAAAGAAACCACACCACATATTAAGGAGATGAACCCCATTAATCCAATATGCTGCTTAATTTGATGGAAGTGCTACCAGCTTCAAACCTGACACTTGGCACACATGGACATTTAACACAGAGCAGAAACAGAAATCAGTTCCTGACTGAAGTTTACTACAAACAGATTTTTCAGCTTGAGCCTTTGGTTTCCAGCAGATACTGTGGAAAAACACAGTGTGCACTTCTTTTATCACCATTAAGTATGATTTTGGAAGCTCTTCAGCTATGGATGGACCAAAGAAGAGCTAATAAAGGCCTATTTTGGTCTAAGGGCAAAGAGTAAACTGAATTTGTTACATTCCCAAAAGCTCTGTAGGAGCCTCAGCAGCTTCTCAATAGTGTTTCCCTGCTTGGAAGGTGTCCATGGATTGCAGGAGCACTGAGGGCTGTGGAACCAGGATGCTGGTCCCAACCCATGGCTGAGAAAATCATGGAATGGTTTGGGTTGGAAGGGACCTTAAAGATCATCTAGATCCAACCCCCTGCATGGGCAGGGACACCTCCCACCAGCCCAGGCTGCTCCAAGCCCCATCCAACCTGCCCTTCAACACTGCCAGGGATGGGGCAGCCACAGCTTCCCTGGGCAACCTGGGCCAGGCTTTCACCACCCTCACAGCGAAGAATTTCCCCCTAATGTCCAACCTAAATCTCCCAGATTCCGGTTTTAATCCATCCCCCCTTGTCCTCTCCCTCCTTGCCCTTGTCCCAAGTCCCTCCCCAGCTTTCCTGGAGCCCCTTCAGGCACTGGAAGGTGTTCTAAGTTCTCCCTGGAGCCTTCTCCTCTCCAAGCTGAAGGGTTTCATCTTCATGCTCGATGCCACAGAAGCAAAAGTTAATAATAATAATTTTAAAAGTCTAATTCAAATACTCAAACATCATCTGGTTGTTCACAGGACTGATGGTTCCTGGAGGAGCTGGAAATATCACTTGGGTGTCTCCAACACTGAGTACCCCATCCACCACAGCACCCTATGGAGACACTTCCAGCATGAAGAGCAGCAGGAACCTGGAATGTCTCAGGGCTCAAAGGAGAGCAGAGAAACGGCCAAGAAGGCCCAGATTGCAAAATGGCTTTGCCTTATGCAACCCAGGATCAGCTTTTACTGCTGCTGACAGAGCTTGGCTGCAACCTCCCAAGCTCAGCTGAGTGATTCTTAACACTTTGGGGTGAAATCAGGGTTGGGTGAGGACCAGGTCTCCAGACAGGTGGCGATTTTTGTGCTTTGGCAAAGCATGGACCTAAGTGTGGCTCCAAAGTTCCTTCCACCACAAAGTCTGCTAAAATGTAGTGAAAATCTAGTTGTTTTCAAAAGTCAATTTGCTCTTTTATGGCACAGAGTCATGGAATCCCAGACTGGTTTGGGTTGGAAGGGACCTTAAAGACCATCTAGATCCAACCCCCCTGCCTGGGCAGGGACACCTCCCACCAGCCCAGGTTGCTCAGAGCCCCCTAATGTTTCAGTTTAAACACAGAGAAATAATCTCAGGGTCATGGTTGGCAAAGGTTTGGGGTGTTTCCTTCCTCAACTGTCACAATGTTACAGGATTTCACCATTATTGCTGCTCAGTGACACATTTTACCCCCTTTTTTGACAGAAGGCACCTAACAGAAGGATGTCATCCCACCCAGTCTCCCAAATGTGTCCTCCAGCCTTTGCCTTGATTTTATCAAGCAGATCATCTTCCTACTTTAAGGTTTCCCTGCATGAGGATGCTTGGCTGGACACTTGCTTTCCATCCCAAGACCCAGCAGCAGCCTTTTTCAGCCCCCTGGTTTTGCTGCCTGAAGCTTCTTACCAACACCCAAGTGCTTCAGAGCTGGCTGGGCTATGATGGTGACACCTCCAAAGACCTTGCTCAATTTTTCTCTTCTGAAAATAGCAGACAGTAAATTTTTAAAATTTTTTTTTTTTTTGGTTCTCAGCAAGGGAGGTCTCCAGGCACTTCTGTTCTGTTTTCCTGTTCACCCAAATTATGCATTTTGCATGCACACCAATAACTGAATTTGTTCTCAAATGGAGGGTCACCTGCTCTAGGGACCCTGCTCTGGCAGGGGGTTGGACTAGAGGATCTCCAGAGGTCCCATCCAACCCCCACCCACTCTGGGATTCTGTGAACCATTCCTGCCTGCACTCACACATTTCCAGAGCTTGTTTTCAGACACTTTGACATGTTGGGTAGCAGGTTCTTTTGTTGGAGGAGGGTCACCAGCAGACCCTGTGTCCTGCTGCCTAACCAAGACTGAGAGCTCGTCGTTGGTCACCCAGTGATAACAGGAGTGACAATATCAATCCATGGAAGAAGTTGCATCTCATCTTTACACCCTTGCTAAGTATTTCTGACTCTACTCTTTTCATTCTTTAAGATATTCTTCTTTTCTTTCACCATTTCAATCCCAAGTGCAATTCCATCACAAAGCTCAACTGAATGAAATCCTGTAGACTGGGAAGAGCAACAAAATCCTCCTTTCCAGGCTATCCTGGACATCATTACTGGTGGTACCATCACTGCTGGAGCAATCTGCTCAGCAGACCCATTTATTTCTCCAGCTCCATCACGTTCTTCAGTGGAACATCTTTCTGCAGGAGACACCCACCCCACCGAGGCTGCAGCCCATCCAGTGAGACACAGAAGGCAGACTCCTCTCTGATGTGGGGCCCAACTGCTAAGCATAAATTAATACCAGCTCTTATACTTTTAGTGTTTTTTTTAGCCAAAGTACCATTAAAAACCAAAGCACAGTCTCACCACTGCCTTACAGCTCAGGGGAGAGAAAATCTATTCCAGTTGGCTATGGCAGCAAACCAAGAATGAGGCGATACCTGATTTATGGCTCCTGCTCTCCAGCTTTGGGTGCTGGAGATATTTCTCCAAGATATTTCCAATTAGGGCCCCAAGTTGCTTGTTACAGACTCCACAGCTATGAAACCCAGGGCCTCACAGCCACTTGGGCTACTTTATATTGAAATAGGTCTCATAAATTAGTTCTGCAAGAAACAGCCCTTTGAATTCTATGTGCATTAAGTTCTTTTGGCTCCCTGTGTTCCTAGGAGTCCTGCCTGGGACACACATCAATCTCTTATTTTCCTCTTTGCTCCTTGGAAGAGCCATGACAGACAGATGACATCAAAGCCCTGCATTCAGAGCATGTCCTAAAGGCTACAAGTCTCTGGTAGCAGCTTTCTCTTTAGAAATTCTACTCCACCACCAACATTTGTCCTCTTTTGTTCCCCGAGCAGGGCTGGTCCCTCACCACAGCCAGCAAAGCTACTAGAGAAAAACTACAACTTAATGACAGCAACTGGGTGTTGGTGGTGACTTTTAGCAATGTTTTTCACAGAATCACAGACAGGTTTGGGTTAGAAGGGACCTTAAAGATCATCCAGTTCCAACTCCCCTGCATGGGCAGGGACACTTCCCACCAGCCCAGGCTGCTCCAAGCCCCA